GTTTGAAGTAGAAGTAGAGCGCGCACAATTAGGGCTCAACTCAATTCTAAAGAGCTATTTTATTGTAGAAAAATGTTATATAATCTAAATAAAATTTTAAATTTTAAATTTTAAATTTAAATACATATTATCTTTTGGATGAGTGAACTCCACTGAAAAAATTGATGGAATCTACTCATTTAAGAGATAATATGCATTTGAGTTATAATTTTTTAATATTTATTTGAATTTTGTAGCATTGATCTTTATTATATTATATTTTTATTTATTAAAAAAATAAAATAAATATAAAGTTATTTTATTTTATAATATATTGATTTATTATTTTAATAATAATTATAAATAAATCAAAATAAAATTTATAGCTATTTGTTTTTAATATTACTAGGAACAATAGGTTTATTGCACAATTAAATAACATATCTCTTTAACCTCTTTTCGTCTCTTTTTGTTTTAACTTTTTACCCAGCTGTCACGATCAGAAAATAAAAGAAAATTGACCAGAAGATAAAAAGGGTCAAAAAACAACTGCGGTGGTGCCAGAAGTACACGTGGACTCCTGACCAAAATGGAGGCGTTGGTCACCAGGGGCAACGAATCAGCAAGCGATTCAAGCTTGACCCACAAATTAGAGAGCCGTTTGAGATATATCATCAGTTAACTACGACCATAAACAAATCGAAAAATACTACATTTATCAAATTTTGAGATTAAATTTAGAGTTTAAATGACATGACAGTTAACTTGGGCTTCTATCATTGGTGTCATGTTATTTGGGTCCCGATAAAAATTTTAAATAATCAACTGTCATGTCATTTAAACTTTAAATTTGATCGGTCTAACATCACTAAAACAAATTTGGTATTGTATCGATATTTTAAATATTTTTATAGTATCAAAAAAAATATTAAAAATAATTATTATACCAGCTGTACAAATATTTATAAAAATAATTATTATAACAATGATAAAAATACTTAAAAAAGAGTGAAAAAACAACTGCGGTGGTGCGAGAAGTGCACGTGGACTCTTGACCAAAATGGAGGCGTTGGTCACCCTGGGCAACGAATCAGCGAGCGATTCAAGTTTGACTCACAAATTAGAGAGCCGTTTGAGATATATCATCCGTTAACTACACCCAAAAACAAATTTGGTATTGTATCGATATTTTATTATAATAGCGGTACAAATATTTATAAAAATAATAAAAATATTTATAAAAAAAATAATTTTTTTATATCAAAAAAATAATTATTATAACAGTGATAAAAATACTTACAAAAATAATAAAATTACACACAAAAATAGTAAATCACTAGCAAAAGTAATAAATTTTTTTGTTGTAAAATTACTCACAAAAATTATAAAAACACATACAAACAAAGTTAATTTTAGAGGTACAAAACCCATTTTTTTTATTCAGCGACACAGTCAAGTCCATTTTCAAAAAATGATTTCCTATCTGGTGTTTGGGTTAAATTTATATCAATTAAATAATTAATTCAGAAAAAAGAATTATTAATGTTTAATATTCAATGTGAATCTTTAAATTTAGTGAGAAAAAACATTAAATTTTGGCCAAGTTTTAATAGAAAATTTTAATAATGTTTGTTCGAATCTTATGAGGTTTTTTTTTTGGTCAGATTATTATAGGAGGAAGGGGAGTCAAACCGTCACTCTTTTGGTGTCCAGCTAGAGTCTGGCAGACCCTTAGGTTAATTTTGTATTATTTAATAAAATTAAATTAAAATTAAAATATATTTTATTAAAATTTAACTTTGTTCGGTCATTTTCTTTAAATTAATGATTGCCCCCATGTGCATAACTCGTACCTCTGCCCCTATATAAATATGAAATATTTTTGTTTTATTATTCATAGTATTAGATATTTATTTAATGCATGGCTAGAAAAGTCTTTTCCTGTTTAAATTTCTTAATCTATTAATTTTTTATTTTTTAAAAATCAAATCAACCAACGTACGAGCTGGGTCGGCACGACAATGAGGGAACCGGAGGAAACTTAACCTTTACATTGAAAACATTGAGGCCACTAAAACTTGTCTTTTATTTATTTGATTTTGCGTTGAATATTTTTGTACTTCGAAATTAGATAATATTTAATTAATTTGAGAAAAATTATCAAAATAAAAATTAACTCTCAGTAATAGTATTTAAATATAAAAATTTGACATAATTTATTAATTTAACACTAAGTTTGATGTTTGATAGAACCCATAATTAATGTAAATGTCATGGTGAATTAGGTTAATAAATTAGATCACAATAACATTGCTCACTTTGTATTCCAACTCAATTCTTTATTTTACGAGAAATACTTTTCGTATATAATTTATTGATTTTATTTAGTGACACGAAGAATCACAGCTATTAAATCGATAATGGATCTTAATTAATTGTAAATCCATTGTTAATCTAATGGTCGCTAATGATAATATCACCAAATAAAGTTACTAAAGACCAATGTTATAGGAACCTAATTCAATACAACAATTGAATTGATAATAAGCTTCATTTAACATTAAAACTCACAATTAATCTTATGATTATATTAAAACTATATCATTAAGTTCTCAAATTAGTTCCTCACAACATTGCTCTTACTAAATAAGGTTTATTTAACATTACCCTTTTTAAGAAAATCAACCACAAAAAATGACACATGTACATTATTCATTAAATATTATTGATTATAAGATTATATTTTTTTTACTAGAATAAAGAGCTCATTCGAGTTGTCTAAAATATTTTTTTTTCTATTTTTAAATTTTATAAAAAAATGCTCTATTTAAAAAAATATCTCTTTAAAATAGAGTATTATTGAAGATGTTTTAAATTAGTGTCCATGTTGATCAAAAATTTTAAAAAAGGAAAAATTATAATTTATACCCTCAAATTTTACATTTTGATTTCTATTTGGTTCTATCAATTAAAAAATAAATTCTTAAACTTTACCATAATTACTGATAAATTTGATATAAGGAGTTTCTTGAAACTAATCATAAAGTTTAAGGACTTGATTATTACATTTCCTTGTTTTTTTTTTTTTTTTTGAACACTACATTTCCTTGTTGAAGATCAAATAAAAGTGAAGTGTAAAATTTGGGGTATCAAGTGTACACTAAGTACCACGTGTCAATAGGTGGCAGCGCCTTGGCCTTTATAATATCAGAGAAGGTGCGGCGACAATAATATATCCCGCTCAATACGTTCGAAGAAATCAAAACCTGGCCATTCGATTCCGTAACCGGACGGTGACGATGAAACTTCGCTACTTCCCAAAAGATCACAGCCGATGACGTCATCGGAGACGGTGACAGACGCGCCGTATATCGACGTGTCGCCAGGAAATTAGAAAAGTTCACGGTGGTCCCCGCACCGCATTCTGCACTGGCCACAGTATTCCCGAACAGAGCGGGAGGCAAAGGTGGTACACGTGGGCGTTCACGACCTTAGTGTTGTCGTATCGAGGTTTTTCGGTCCCACCTCTAAATAATGCCACGTCATTCACACATTAAGGTAGCGTGACTGAGACACAGTGTCACAGACCAATGACAAAATTTGTTAGATAATTTAAAAAGGGCAGAGTACTATAATTATTTTGGCCTTCTCATAGCATGATATACTTACTATCTACTAATTTAATACAAAATCGCCTCAAAATATATATATTTTAATTAGCTGTATTAATTCAATTTTAATAAATTCCACTAATAAACAAGTGCACTAATTAGAAAATCAATGAATTAGTAAGATATAAATTTGTTGAACACAATTTATGTATATTTTTGGATGTGAGATAAATTCAATATTATATATAATTATGAATAATTAAATAAAATTTTAACACAGTATAACATAATTATGACACATTTCATGCCTAAATACATTCAGTAGCATTAAAAATCGAATATTAATTGGTAATACTTTAAATAATAATAATATTTTTTAGTTAACGGAGAAAAAATAAGAGAGATGTGAGTGTATATTGATAGGATTATCTGACATTAAATAGTGTATTAGTTGAGTTCTCCGACATACGAGATCGACAAAGAAAATGATATTTTTAGGTAAAAAAATTTTTGTTAAATTCAAATAGATGAAAATTAAACTAATTTTAACTGTTTTATACTTTTATAAATTTATTGAACTTCCTAAGTAGTACTTGATTACGGTACAAAAAAAATTTGCTACCATACCTTCAAATTTTATTAATTTAATGGGTATTTTTATAACCAAAAAAAATTATAAGTTTTTGGGATCAACTGTATGTAATATAAAAGTTTTAAAAACAATTATCACAAAAATAATAAAAAATAATTAAAAATAATAAATGACAATACAATACCATTTTTTTGTTTTTTTGGTACCGTAAATTTGTCATGCTAACTATGAGAAAATATTTAGCGTAACGGTGACACCAAATTATCGTTGACACATGATATCATTATTTAATTATAAATTTATAATTGTTTAAGGTAAATTTTACTTAAATAATTATTAAGTAATATATTAAAGTAATTATTAAAATATGTGAAATTCAATTATTCAGATGATATCTTATCATTTGATGATTATATTTTGTGTAACGTACAATATTTTTTAATAACGGTGAGATTGATGGATATTTCCTGACAGGCTGGTCCTGCATCTTTTACCATTTGTAATCGGCCGGTGACCTAAATTACCAATTTATCCCTAAGTGAAGTCTTGATATTGCGTATTTACTAAAATGGCCCTGAATGGCGAAAGACGGATTGTTTAAGTGGTGTAATCCACCTTTTTTCCTGCTGGACCTGTGTTTTTGAACTTTACTTCTTTAAAGCTGGCACTTTCCACATAATCACATTTACTCTCTCTTTCACTCTTCCTCTATCCTATGCCTCATATTTTTGGACTTTTCGATTATCATTTTTGCACTCGTATGCTGTTCTGGTGATGTGAGTTAGATCTTTGGCCAGCAAGTTTTGGCCGGTCGGAGAATGGCATATATGTGTACGGACAGTGGAAATCTAATGGCAGTTGCCCAACAAGTGATCAAGCAAAAGCAACAGCAAGAGCAGCAACAACAGCAGCAACAACTCGTGGGTGTCAACACGTTTTGTCCGAGTCCATGGACCACTACTCACCAGAGCCTAACCAATAGTCCGACTATGGGGTATGGCTTCACAGGACCTGGATTTCCCGACCCTTTTCAGGTCGCTGGAGGGCCGGAAAGTGGGGAACATGGGTTTCATTTCCCGAATTTGGAGAACAATTCGGGTGGGTTTAGGTTTGCTGATTTTGGTGGTGGGCCTGGCGTTGAGTTCGACTCGGATGAGTGGATGGAAAGCTTGATGGGCGGTGGAGATTCAACCGAGAGTTCTAATCTTCATTCTACTTGCAACGCGTGGCAAACCAACTCCGATTTCGATCTCTATGGTGCGGATCCATTCACTACCGGCCCGAGTCGACTCAGTATAGGTTCATCTCCACCCTCCGATCTTAACCGAGTGATTTTGTCGGAAACTCAAAAGAACCCTAACCCTCTTCAATCTCAGACCATTCATTGGGTGCCACCGGCATCTCCTCCACCTCCAGCAACGACCGTTAGAGATTCCAAAGCAGCCAATTTTTCACCTAAAAACGATGTCGTAGCGGCTGGTGCTTCCTCTAGTTCACCAGAAACATTGTCTTCGAAACCATTGTTGAAAGCTTTAATCGACTGTGCTCGAGTTGCAGAGTCTGAGCCTGAAAATGCTGTAAAATCACTGATTCGACTCAGAGAATCAGTCTCCGAACACGGAGATCCAACTGAGCGAGTAGCTTTTTACTTCACAGAAGCTCTTTACAGTAGAGTCTCGAATCAAGCAGAGAATACTCCAACAATATTCGAAACCACTTCCGAAGAGTTCACCCTCTCGTACAAAGCTTTCAACGACGCTTGCCCATACTCAAAGTTCGCCCATTTGACAGCCAACCAAGCAATCCTCGAAGCCACTGAAAATGCTAAGAAAATCCACATCGTCGACTTTGGTATAGTTCAAGGTGTTCAATGGGCGGCTCTTTTGCAAGCTCTGACGAATCGGCCCGCTGGGAAACCCACAAGGATTCGGATCTCCGGTATTCCTGCGCCAGCGTTGGGGAAATCTCCGGCAGCATCGCTGTTAGCCACTGGGAAACGATTGGGTGACTTCGCGAAGCTTATGGATCTGAATTTCGAGTTCGACCCGGTTCTCACGCCTTTCCAGGAGCTTAACGAGTCGAGTTTCCGAGTCGAAACGGACGAGTTCTTGACCGTTAACTTCATGCTTCAGTTGTACAACCTATTGGACGAGAGGAACGACGCCGTTGAGACTGCTCTTCGGTTGGCCAAGTCGCTGAACCCGAGCATAGTCACATTGGGTGAGTACGAAGCGAGTTTAAACCGAGTTGGATTTCTCCATCGATTCAAGAACGCACTGAGATATTACTCGGCCGTTTTCGACTCTCTAGAACCCAACTTGTCACGGAACTCACCTGAGAGGCTTCAAGTGGAAAGACTATTACTTGGCCGGAGAATCGCTGGAGTTTTGGGACCGGAAGAACCTGGAATCCGAAGAGAACGAATGGAGGACAAAGAACAGTGGAGATTACTAATGGAAAGAGCCGGTTTCCACTCGGTAGCACTCAGCCATTACGCAGTGAGTCAAGCAAAAATACTACTTTGGAGCTACAATTACAGTGAATTATATTCTCTGGTTGATTCTTCACTTGGGTTTCTCTCTCTTGCTTGGAATGATTTCCCTGTTCTCACTGTCTCATCGTGGCGTTGATTGGGTTGTGGTTAAATTTGATTATTAGATTTCCACTACCTGGTCTTTTTTTCTTGATGGGTATGGGAATTGAAGTTCACATAAGTTTAATCTTGAGTCTTCTTCTTCCTCGAATGGGCTGTTCTGAAGCTTCTTGATAGGTTATGAAGCCTGGTCTAATTTGATTCAAGCTGCAGATATTTTCTTTTTCAATATATAGCATTAGGATCACAATAGTATAGAATTGATCGTATTGGAGTCTTTTTGAATTAAAACAGCTTGTTAACTTCACAGCTTGAATTGAATTCTCTGTTCATATTGGTTTGGTTACTAATGCTTTGCTCTGTATTTTTTTTTTTTTAAAAAAAAAAAACTACTTTCCTATATCTAATTTTCAGGATTGGGGGTGATGAGGAACTGTTCTTTCTTAACTTGAATAAGACCTTTTGTAATTGTGCATATAATTTTGAAATCTTTATGTCTATTCAGCTGTGTTTATTTTTGCTCTCAATTGTGGCTGAATTGTACATAAAAAATGCCTAGTGGTTGGAAGATCATTGTGCCTTGTAATTTTTCTTCCTTTCTGCGGTGGGGAAAATAGAATGTAAGCTAGCTTACCTGTTCGAATGTGTTCTGTTTTGCTAAAGATTATTCAATTTCTCCACTCTAAATGGGCTTTCTGTAATTGGTAATGGAATTAATGGGTCGTCCCTTTCGCTCTGCGTAGCATCAACCATGCCTTTTTCTCTCTCTCTTGTTACGACGGATGGAAACAGAGGGAGTGAAGGACCTAGACCCTTTCCACCTCTCTCTCTCTGTGTGCAAACAAATGGCTCGGTGGTTTTTTTGTGTCAGCCCTGTCCATATTCAACTTCTGGGTCATTCTTCAGTCATCAGTCATCAGTCATCCTTAGTTGGCGTCCAATATACTGAACTTGAGTCCACAGTCAACTGTTTATGACTTTTTGACGTCTTATTGAATGTGACAACTTAGTTAAGTGGAGTTACCATTTAAATTGACTTAATTATAATCAAATTGAATTGATTTTCATTTGATAAATTGTGATTAAAAGGCTAATATGTCTCTGATTCAATTTCTTGTTATCTAAACAAATCGTATACATCGGTATTGTTATATATGTAATGCCCTAATAAATTTAAATGAATAAATCTCATAAATGTTTCTTATTTAAATTGTCCCTGAATTTTTTATTGTTGTAATTTGTTTCTTGAATTTTGTAATTTATTTCAATCTATCTCTTCCATTAAGATTAGCAATTAAATGAGACAGATTCGAAGAAGCTTTCGTTAATATGACCGTTGATTGAAACAAATTATGGTTAATTTTAATGAAATTTATAACATATAACAGTTAACAAAAGGGATTGATTGAAATAAATTATATAATTCAATGGATAAATTGAAAAAATTAAAATTTAATGGGCAATTTAAAACAAAAGTCATAATTCAGGGTCATTTATAAAATTTACTCGATTTGAATCTTCAGCCTGACACCATTGGGCTATATTAACATGGAGTTGATATAGTCTTTTTTTTTTTTTTTTTTTTTTTATAGTTCAATTGTTATTTGTATTCAAGTTAATTTATGTGTACGTCGATTACTTTTTTTTCAAGTCCGGTCAAAAGCAAACACGTTGGTCGGAACGAGAATATTTATAAAAAATTCTATCATGGCATGACTTCATAAAATTATCAAGATTTAAATTCAAAATATTTGAATTTATAAATCGAAAAAATCTTATGTATTGATCACAGAACCGCATGTGAGAGATCACCTGCGGAATCAGACGTGGATATCCAGATAACGTCAAATGTGCTTGATTAAGGAGATAATCACAAGGGCTATGATGTGCATTTGACTAATCCCCCCCAAAAAAAAAAAGACAAATAGACGTTGAATATTGCATTAAAGTAAAGACGAATTCTATGTATGATATCATACTAGAATGTATAACTTTTGAAATATAAGTTACTAGTGCAACAAAAAAAAAAAAAATTGTCTATTCTAAGTTTATGACTTTTGAGAAATGTTATAATTGATCATAAGAGTAAAATTTTTTAAAAAATAAGTTATTAGTGAGTATTTTTATCGATCACAATATTTTATAAACGATTATCAATTACAAGCAAAATATAAATTTATCTTTAAAAAATTAAATGGATCTTTAAAAATAATATTTTTTAATACGATATAGATTTTTTTTTTTTGGGTGTGGTGGAATTACTCTAAGGGCTTATTTAGTAAACACATTATGAGTGAATTAAATATTGTATTGGACGATTGTTAATTTAATCGGGTTTAATACTTTGTGTAGCAGAGAAATTTGATTCCGTATTAATTTTTAAAATATATACTGATCGTATACTTATCATTTTTTTTTGTATGATAGACCGGTGTTATGAAAATATTAAATATCAAATGGAAAAATAATATTATAATCCAATTCAAATGTATTATCATACATATTTACTATTATAACCCTACAACCAATAAGATCGAGCTGCCATAAGAATTGATTGATGATATTTTTATTAATTCAATATTAATATGATGAAATAGTTTTCTTACCAAATAATGGATTGAACTAAATAACTACTTATTAATGCTTATGTTATATTTGTTAAAATTATGTAGTATTCTAATACCTCATTTAGTATTGTATTTTGTTCATTTATATTATAGGGTGAGGCTATTCTCACCTTACAAATCTCTATTCTCACCCCATTTAATTTATTATTATCAAACTATTAAGTCTACTCCATCTATACTTACCACATTAATAACTAAATCCACCTCATGTTAGATACACTCCTTTTAAAAAGAAAAGAACAAAACAAGGGAAAAAAAAAGAAGCAAACCAAAACAAGAAGGAAAAAAAACCAATAAAGATTAAAGGAACAAGCAAAACTATAAGACGCAAAACCACAAAATGCAATACTAAACATGAAAAAAAAAAACATCAAGCACATATACAAAACCGAACAAGAAAAAAAATAAAAAAAGTATAGATGCAAAACCTAAACAAGATAAAAAAGAACAAATAATCTGAAAGTATACATATATATACACACATATAAATTTAAAAAAAAAATTATTAAACTTGACAAAAATATCAAAACATACGGAAATAATGAAAATTCATACAACAAACATGAAATCAAATATATAATTAAATTGAAGAATAATATTAACCTGTATTTTACTGAAAAAATTCATATTAATTTTTTTTTTTTGAGTGCATAAGATGAGATAAACAATGAAGCTTTAATTATAACAAAATATAAAGTGAGTTTACTTTTTAAAAGGGTGTAAGTAGCATGGGGTGGACTTAGTTACTAATGGAGTATATAAAAAAGATAAACTTAATAGTTTGATAATAAAAAATTAAATGGGTAGGAATAGAGATTTGTCGAGTGAGAATAATCTCACCTTATATTATATTAAATTATTATTTTTTATCTAATTTATTTATTTTTAATACTATAACGAAACGAGCGTTAAATGTAAAATTGTTATTGAGATATTTGTAGGCTGGTACACTTTTAATAACTTATTTGTCAAAAAGTTAAATCACCAATTTTTTTACATTTCGGATTAAAAGGACTCTAATACCCTTAATTTATCTATTTACTGAATTATCTCAATCAAATTAAGAAACAAAATCAATTTATTGACTGAGTTGCTATTTCAATGGAGTTTCATTCAAACTCCTTCAATCACAGAATGCTCAAGTAAGATTCAAGGGAAAAACTTTTTAATTGATACAATCCTTCCATAAAAATGTATAACCGAAATTCTTTTCATGAAAAAATGCAACTACTTAGGTTTCAAAAACAACTATTTTCTTATATTAAAATGTTATGATTTTTTTAAAAATTTCTCACTTATTAACTTTCAAATTCCTAAAAAATTCAAAAACTCCTGAATTTCAATTTGTAAATAATTAAGAAATAGCGTGACATCAAAAAATGACATTAAATAGTGAATTAACATAATAAAGAGTAATATAATTAAAAAATAATGTGACATACTTAAAAAAATAATGTCACATCAAAGACTTATACAATTTTAAAAATAATGTGATATCAAAGGGTGATATAATTTTAAAAATAGTCTGTCATAATTAAAAAATAGTGTGACATTAAAAAGTGAAGTAATTTTAAAAATAGTGTGAAATCAAATATCAAAAAATTGATGACCCCTCTTGTAAAATATCGATAATAAGTATCGGTGGTCGTTTGGAAAACGATGAACATGGAAAATAAGACATAAAAAATAATGATTATAATTTGGATCAATATACAATAAAAATGTTAATTGTCAAATATATTTTTATAATTTTTTAAAAATTTAAACGATTATTGTCCATTAAAATAAGAAACCCCTTAGTTAATAAAAACAGAATCAAAAAAGAAAAGAAAAGAAAAGGAAACTATTAGATATTGTATAAAATAAGTAAGAACATTTAAGTATTACTAAAATATAAAAATTTGAAAATATGTATTTCACCACCACATATTCTATAAAAAAAAAAATCAAAAATATACTTATTATCCTAAAAGTTTGGACGATAAATATTTTTAAAAAAATGTATCTTCTCATAAATTTTCCATTATTATTTCTAGGTTGGGCCAAAACTCCAGAATTCGTACTAGACTGAATTTCGGTGTACCAATTGCCTAAAATTGGGCCGGTGTAGATGAAGTTCTGGCAATAGCTATGGAAGGCTAAAGCCTGTCGATTTTTTCGTACAAATCTGCAGTGAAAATGTGACGCATGACCCATTACCTTTCCAATATGACACTGCCTATTCTGCGCCCTGCAGACTGACACTTCTCTGCAGCAGTTTCAGAACTATGTGAGACAGAGAGGAGTTGGGGCGGCTTAGTTAGTCTTCTTTCATGGAACAAAGGGTGCCCCTTACTAATAAAAATATGATATTTTTCATATTGTCAATTAAAATTTATTTTTTAAAAATTAGTGATTAAAAATGTATTAAATTAAGATTTGGGACTATTAATAATTTTTGATATATGATGCATTTTTTTTAATTCAAGACAAGAACTACCGGCAGGCATAAATATTTTGAATTCAAAATTTTATAATTATTTTGAAGTCAAATAATAAGAAATTTATTATTTATTAAAATTCATAATTTCGGTCACAATTATCTGTATCCGAATTAATAATAATAAGAAAAAAGAGATTAATGGAAGTGAGGTACGTTCAGACGGAAACACACTTTATCGCAATTTCAAAACGACAAAAAACGTGCATGGCTATGTAAACGTATGAGTCAGAACTCTTTTCTCAATGTCGGTGGTTGAATTGAATTGATGACGTCATACACTGCTCCAATGGTTAGATGGTTCCACACTTCCACCAAGGCGATAGACACTGTGACGTTCCCTTTATATCGGCTGTGACCACTTTACCCCCAAACTTCGTCTCCCCCAAATTTCACAGCACTCTTTCGTACTTGAGGCGGCTCAGTCATTTGGTAACCGTCTCAGTTATCTATTTTCCAGATTTTGCTCAGAAATCACGTGATTATTGTCACGAGCGTCATTGTTTAAAAAATAAAGAAGCAAATAAATAGATAAAATTTATATAATTTAATAATCACTCCTTTTGTGTTTAGGTCCTTCACTCCTGAACACAAAAGGAGTGATGGAGGCATAAGGCCACGACTCAAATTCAACCTAACAATCCGAGGTCTCAACCTAATGCTTGTCTAAATTTAATTCGGATTAGAATTTTTTTTATCTAGATCCAACCCAATTATTAAAAATTTTAACTCAAACCTTATTTTTTTTAGATTGGACTCCAGTTGAATTCGAATTTACCCGCCCAAGCGCCCCCCCCCCCTCCACACAGTGCAATATAATAACTTTAGCTATTAAAGTGAAGTTCACATCAGCCTTCTGATTTTTTCCTTTTAAATGAAAATATTATGTGTAAGCGATAATAACATAATGTTATAAATATAGATCGGATCACAATTTAATGAGATGTTAATTGTCCAAACCTGGATTTAAATAAAAGTTTTTGCGAGTCTATATTTAATTTATCACTTAATTATGAAAAAAAATACTCAGTACAAAATGTTTGTACATTAGTCTTTTTATTATTTTTTTATAACAGAAATGCCCGCAAAATAACAATTGCTTGACGTAAAAAGTGAATAAAGAAATTGTCATAAATCATTCAATAATCCCATTAAATTTGGCAACTCCAAATCCCTTAAAACATAGGTTTTCAAAATTTTTAAAAAAATATATGTTATAAAATCTTTCAATTTCCAACCAAAAAAATATAACACGAACGTTGAAGCACCATTGAAGACCGATTTTCCTTCTATTTCGATTCAAATTGTTGATAATGTGATATTTATAATGATACATGACAATGTAACAACTTCATTAAACTTTAATCACTAATAAAAAAGTCGGGAAATTATATTCATTGATTCATACACAATCTAAATAGTATGCATCACATAATGTGACATTCATATATATTATTTTTAATGAATGACAGTATCACATCATAGTGTAATATTGCAAAGTGACACTATTGTTAGATTTTAGAACAATCAGAGACGTTTAACATTAAAAAATAATATAAAAAAATAAATTTTAAAATTTGGGTCAAACTGTTAAGGTATATTTTATGTGGTATAATTTTAAATTTCAAATAAATTCAACCTCTTAAAATAGAAAAATTATTAATATAATAAATCAAATTCCACAAAAAATGAGACTCTTAGGCCTTGTAATGGTATTTTAGTGACTAAAATAATTGAAAATCCGCCAATGAGTACCTATCTATAATACATTTCAAGTCAAATGTATTAATTTATAAAAAATTTTAGTCAAAATATTTTCTCACAATTAAGAAATTTAAAAAATATCTGCTCACAAATTTCCACAAATAAAATAACATGAAAGATTTTGATCCTAGTTCAACTAATCGGTTCCAAGGCCCAGCTCCACTGAGTTTTTGTTCGACCCCTGCTCCCCTTCACTGTTTTGTTTTGTTTGGGCCTACTGCTCCTCTGAATGTTTTGTTGGCCTACTACTTCTATCAGTTCACAAAGCTGCATAACGTGATTCCGATTAGGGTAGATAATGGAGTTCAAAATATACCAAATCCGAATAGTTTGACTATTTTATATCTAAATGAGACTAATTTTGTTAATTTGAGCAGAATATTTTTAGACTCGGCTCATTTATAGATTTGAGCTCTATACGAGTCGACATGAGCCTGAGGTGCTTGACTCGATTATAAGTTCTAATTTTAATCTTACTTGTGTAATCTTGTAGAATTAAAGTCAACGAGCCGACTTTTACAAGTTCGAGCTGAACACTTTTAGGCTCGGTTCATTTATAGAGTCAAACTCTATACGAGTCGAATCTGATATAAACTCGAGTAATTTGACCTAATTATGAGTCGTAATTTTGATCTTACTTAGTTTGATGATTAGTAATTGCAAAACTTGAACCCATTTCTATAAGATGGGTTTTTTTGGTTATAACCGTGTTCGAAGCAATTTTATTTTATCTATACCATATTACAAAGTGTTGATAATTTTTGGTGAAGAAATAGTGAACTCAACCACTTGGTGTTGGTTGGGTTTAATTTTTGGTAGAGGTGTATGTTACCCTCCAAATTTATAATACATGTGATTTAATTAATAATCTTTTAAATTATGAAGAATTAAACTTAGATCTTTTGAGAATTTTCACTTAATCACTTAGATCCTTTGATATTTAAAATGTTACTCATAAATCCCCTAAAGTTTATACGCACGTAACACTTAAACCTCTAACGTCAACACCCGTTTGTCTATCGATTAGTAAATTACACTCAAATCCTCTAAATTTTGTAGGCGTGTAAAGAAAAGAAAAGAGGATTTGAGTCTCGGAGTGATTGTTCGTGATAAAGAAAAGAGTTGGAGCATGGGAGGTGCAGTGAGTTGTGGGCAAAACTTCAAAGAAAAGGTGATTTTGAACCCAATGTATGTCGAGTGTATGCTATCCTACATGTGTCATTAATTGTGAATGCAATTTTGTTTTGTACAATCTATGACAAGATTATCCATTAGCAAAGTGTTAATACTATCATGACGGAGAAGAATGTGTCGTAAATTTTCTTCAACGTTTTGTTTTTTTATATCAATGTTCGAGTTCCGGGTATCCATTAGGAATAGTTGCTGTCTGTTTCCTGCTGTGTGATCAAACAGATTTTACAGATGCTTGGGATCTTTTTATCTATATATATATTAAAGCACAAGGTTGTGGCGTACAAGAGTATTTATTATATTATGAGCACCGGTATATATAGACTCAAAAAATAGACTTAAAATATATATATATATATATATATATATATATATATATATGTCTGTGTGTTGGTGGAAATAAGAATTTGAGATGCTTTTAAATTCGATTTGGATAAGAACAAGGCCATAACACGTGTCAATTTACCATTGAAACAGCAATCGATTGCAAGCTCATGCGGTCCGTCAATTTTTAAGCCCAGGACCACCGCCTCACGTGAAACAAGGAACAGAATCGACCAAATAGGATATATGATTACCGTAGATCTATATGCATCTCTTAATCTTAGCCGTCCATTGTTCTTGTCCCTCCTATATAAAGTTGTGGTTTCCAGCTGTTTCCCTAATCCGCCTCTCTCTCTCTTTCTGAGCTGTTGTAGCTCCTCCTTCCCCATGGATCGTGTTTGAGATGCAATCATTAGACGATTTACCTTCTGGTGGGGGTTTTGTTGGCCGCCTTCGTCGATTTCTCTTCTCTGAATGAGATCTCAGGAACCTTGTTCTAGTTAGAGATATTCTTGATCCATCCTTTGGTGATTAATATCATAGCTCGATTCGGATGACTCAATTCAGATCTTAAACTTTGGCATAAGTACATGGGTGATTCACCTTACAGGTATATTAATACGAGTTATTTTTGGAACAATTTCTTTGCGATTGGTTTGCTATTTTGCTAGGGCTGCGTTATTGATTCGATTTTTTTGGGCGTTTTGGATGAATTCCATATGATTTGTTGTGTCTGTGCATCAGCTGATCCTGTTCTCCTGTTCTGTGCTCATCATCAGTTGCTGGAGACGCTACTTTCTTGCGAAGCTCGGAGCCTTTTGGGGACTTTCCGTGTGTTGGTTGCATCTATCTCAGACAAGGTCTTACTGTGGCTAAGTTTATTCTGGACTGCAAATCTCAATTCAGATGAAGAAAATTCATGTAGATCTGATTCTTGTAAACAATCGATGATACAGTTTGACGTGTAATATTGGGATGTGGTCTGGCAGATCTGGAGGGTAAGTTATGTGTAAAGATGTAAAAAGACATATCCGGACAAAGAGGGGGTCCCTAATTTCAGGGGGTCTGAGTCCGAAATGATCTTTTGTCATCAGACCTTTGCCATGACAGGTGCGCTTGCATGGCAGGTCACCCAAAATGTTAATAAAAATATGAGATTTTTTGGTTTTGGGGGCGAGATCGCACGGGGTTTTGCCCGGGTTCTCCCCCCATGGTGTGGTGTTTCGTGTGTTGCTTGTGCCTTTATTATGCTCGACCAAATACCCCAATCGAAGCAATCCCGGGCATTCATCAGCTAAATGATTCTAAGCTCCCGAACCTGCAGAGGTACACGCTGAATATCTCTTTAATGCAATTCTTAATTATTCGTTCGTTTAGTGCATCTCAACGTCTGAGTACTCGTGCCATCTCCAGTCATATAGTAAATGTAAGCTACAGCATCCTGATTTTATACTAATCTCTTTACCTGGTAATAATTTCATACCCACCCATCAGAAATAAGGTTCGTACCTACATCCAGGGGAGGAGGGGGGGTGGGGTCAAGTGCCCCCCACTGAAATCTTAAAAACTTTTGGGGCTAGTTTCAAATTGTAAGGTTTTTTCAAATCTTGTCCCCACTGATTTTTTTTTCATAAACTAAAACTTAAGACTTAAAGTTCCCTCATATAACTTAATCTCACAATTATCTCTTTAATTTATAGTTATCTCTTTTCTTTCTACCGGAACACACTAAGTTACCAAAACAATCTTCGAATATGCCAACTTATGTGAAGTATTTAAATTTGGATATACCAAAATTTAACTTGATTGTAGTTTTGTTTAATTGGTATGAACACACACACACACACATGATTGACTTTTCGATAGGGTTTTCAAATCAAATTGAACTTCGATTCAAATCACTCAGAATTTGGTTTGCATACCTATTTACCATGTGTTAGTAGAATGACTTGTCAATGGCATGCCTATTATTTTACTGTTAGCTATGGCAGGTTAATTTTAGAATTGCTCTCTTCACCTAATTAACTGATGCACCAAAACCCATTTTGTCAGGGCCAGATTTTTCAAGTTATGGTTCCTTTGTTTATAAGGTTAATGTCTGGTAGGAATATGAAATAATTTTGTGTTCATTCACACTAATATAATTAGTAATTTGTTTGGTGAGATAGGCACCTAGGAAATATGTTGGTCTTGTATCAATTAGGCTCGATCCATTGGAAATTTGGAGATATCGACATTATAATCACTTTGGCTATGTTAATTTAAAGATGCAGCTGCAATGAATATATCTGGGTTCATCTTACCCTGAGGAATATAAACTGAATTCATCTTTGTAATGCCTTGAAATGAAACTTGCAGAATTGAGAAGTGTATTACAAATTGAACCTTCCCCCTCCATTGCCTTTCCTATTGCACCACCTTACACCATTCGCATAACAAAAGCACCAACCACTTAATGACATTATGATGCGTGTTTGATTGGTTATGCTTCCCTCTGTGATGTGCTTGAAAGGGTTGTGCCAAATTCATGACAGCTTTAGTGTATGCTAATTCAGTCTGGTCATTCAGTCAAAGATTACACAGACAAAAACATAAATTTTGGTGAGGTCAAAATTTCATGAAGCTATATTCTGTGTTTTGCTTCAAGTAATAGATGCTATAAAATTCAAAGTTACATGAGCAATTGCCATGTGTTTCTGAGTTTTGTACTGTTGATGTTAAGGCTCAAGTGAAAGAGCTTTGTCTTGATGATTGTTTGGAGAATAGTTGTCGGCTTCGTTGTTTGATGGTTTGGTATTTGGGAGGAGGTAGATTGTTCATTTGAATGGTCTTGTACCTTGTTTTTACTTTTGGCTTTCTGAGATGGTTTCTTATACTGACAATGGCGGTAAAGATGGCTGTTGGTTTTTCATATGTTGGAGATCAATGGTTCGGCAGCTGGGTAGATGGCATCACGAAGAATGGGGAGAGGTTGATGGTGTTTTTACATTTGTGGGAGACGGAAAGTTGCAATAAAATTGACGACCATCCTGATTGTGCGGTGAAGCAGGCAGAGGCTCGGAGTCTGCAAAGGCTTGTTCTTTATGACTGAACGAGCATCAGAGTTCGTGTCCAAGTGTTAGGTGCTGCTTATTGCTGGTGGAGCATCATAGTTCCTGTCCAATCATTAGAGCTGGTTTTTTTGTGGGGTGATTCTAACATGGGAGTTCACATTGCTTGCAGCTTTTATTCGTGGTCCGAGGGCTTGGTTTTTTGAGGTGGCAATGTCTTTGTTCTAATGATCCTGCTCTCTGCCAATATCACTCGGTATCCATTTTTCCAGAGAAATTTGTTGAGGTAGTCTTAGACTAGTACTGAGAAATTTGTTATTACTTACCATTAATTTTGTTAGTTTGCAGCATTAGACTTGACTGGCAAATGCAAGTTATTCTTTTACGTAGATGCTAATGTTGTTACTGCCAATTTTTTACTCACTTCTTTGTATTTCCTAGTAGTTTTCTTTTTTGAATGGTTAATTTTTTGATGCCCATCCAGTTTTTTTTTGTGTTGATTCCTTTGCGAAACATCATTGATGATAGTATTGGTTTTTTTTTTCCTGGACCTTATACATTTACATCTGAAATTTTCACTGATTGGTTTACTTTTTAATATTTTCTATGTTACAAAAGGAATTACGGCTGTTTTACGGATTGGCCACTTTTGTTGGATTTTCTGTTTGTGGTGTTGACATTTGGTAATTTCTGGTCCATCTGAGTAACTAGTATTTGAGGGAAAAAAAGATCACAACATTATGTTTTAGTGTGTTTGAAAAATCATGTAGAAGTTCTAAATCTTTTGGCTGCCTTCTTTTAATCTCCTTGCAATTTTCTTGGTTTTTGGTTCTGCAGGTTCTGCACATTTTATGGTTTTGTGTTTTCAACTTTCAGTTTAGATGTTTGGATATTGAACTTCTACCGGCTGCTGTACTTTGTAGAAGATGTGATTGTGAAAGTTTGGAAATGTGCTCAGATTTTTCTATTGGGCGAATAAAAAAACAGAAGGATTTTTCTGTTGTGTGAATTCTATATTTTAAATACTGGACAATAATCTTGTGGATCACGTAATGAGGTGTTTTGTTGTGCTGAAACGTCCGGGGGGTTTAAGTTGTGGCAAAGAGTGCAGAGTTAGGTTGAGTATATTTGATCATTCAGATTTTGTAGTTGTGGGAGTCTTGTCTACTTTGTTACTTTCCACCATCTGAGAATTTTTAAGTTGTGGTAGTGTCGTGTACTTGGCTGTTTTCAATCATCCGAGACTTTTGTATTGGTAGTTGGGAGAGTCTCGCACTTGCCCACTTTTTAATTGATTTATCTATGCTGTCTAAATGTGGATGATTTATCTTGTCTGTAACTTTGAGCATTTTTTATAGGTCACTAATCTCTCTCTCTCTCTCTCGAGTCAATTATCTTGAGGGCATGGTTATGGATCTAGTCGAGGTTTCTGGTGTAATTGGTGTGCAAGCTGTGTCCTTTAGCCAATTATCACCCTTGACATCGCCACATAATTTGTCATCTCGGGATGAAAAAAGATTGAAACAACTCTATACTTCTTAGTTTTAAATATAAGTATCATTTTGCGGTGTTCTGCTATTGGTTTAATTCAAAATGATATTCAGGGTTGATTGGTGAATCCAAATCCCAGGTACGACTGTTTTAAATGGCATTAAGCAATATTTTGCCATCTTGTTAGGTGCGGGCATTTTCTGTTAAACAGAGAGACTGAGGGGTTCAAACTTCTAACGTACAGGCCATCCATCAAGTTGGTGTTAGCTGAGAGTGGGATCCTAAAAATTTACGCACGAAGACAATTGCGAGAGTACATCAGGTCTGAACTACCTTTGTCTTTTTTTGTTAGAGGGAGTCTCTTTTTATTTTGCACTTATCAAAGAGAAGATTTTTTACATTTTACTCTCAATATATTTTAAAGTGTTGTAATATATGGACTTTTTATTACCTATTTTGTTAAACTCATCCTTTTGACATTGATAGGTGAGTAATGGAAACTAATAAAAATGATCATATTATAACACTTTTAAAATATTGAGGATATAATGTGAGAAATTTAATTTTTGAAGATGCAAAATAAAAGTTCTTAAATTTTTTAAGGTAGAAACTATAATTTGTCTTTTTTGTTTTATAAGTTGTGTATGGTCCAAAGGAATTTTAAAGGATAACTTAAATAAAAACAGAGATAAGTTATAAATTCAAACGTTTTGAGTTTAAATTTTAGTATGGATTTGTCTCTTATGAATATTCTAGTTTTTGTATAGATGACATGTTTTCGACTGAATCGGGAGAAAATTAATTGAGATATATGTAATTCAAAAAAAAAAAAATAAAGTATGGTCGAAGAGCTGTAAGTCGTGTGGGTGTATCAGCAAGCCTAAAAAGTAACATTCTGATGATTACCAAATGATATTTTTAAGAGATCCGTGAGCTCTAAATGGAATAGCGCTCAAGTCTGTTCCTGATTTGAGAGGTTGGTGGTTCGAATCCACTCGGATCTAGTCCATCTTTGCCCTACTGTACTGGTCTCTATGTCTATTGACCAATAGGAGTTGTTGCTTTCAGGGTTTTTTCCAGCCTCAATACAGTTTTAGTAGAACTAGTCTAGAAAAAGAGGTGTTCTTAATTTTATTTAAGCATTAATGCAACTGTTGGTATTCTCATAAAAAAAATATATAATTCTGTGTTTTCACCATGGAATTCCTAGTAGTCAGCTCCAGTAAATCGCGATTACATTAGTGAGGTGGTCATGAAATAAAAATAAAAAATCCACTAGGGGTTAGAACTTGGCAACCAAGATCAAATGACTCCACAATTTGCGAGTGAAAATGCTCCTCTTCATCAGTCTCCAGATTCCTCTGTCAACTAATGTCAATGGTAACTTCACTGATGCAAACGGGAATGGAACCTTACTGGCACAGGTATGCACATTCCTTAATGTCTTGCAATATGTAATGTTTGCTCCAATACCTAAATGCCTGCATTTCCCGGATACACCTGGCTGGGTCCTGCCAACAATGGTAAGTTTCAACTAAAACAGTTTCTGTCCTCTTACTCAAGGAAATAGATGGCGTAGAAGAGATCACCACCCCCACCACATATTGCGTTCAGAAGTGCAATGCACTTAGCTAAGGAGATTGCAGAAGCTTTCACTAAACATGGATCGGAAAGAGAAATACAATCCTATTACAATTTATGTTACCCCAATACACGTCTTTTCTATGTATTTTGTTCTTTTTGCAGGCCTTTCCAGTATACTCAATAAGAAGACTTGGATTACATTGAGACTTTTTATCCGGCCACCATTCGTTCTAAATGGATATGCATAATGCTTTTTTGTACCTTACTGAGGTGGTGTATATGAGTCTTCATCATGGATTTCCTAAGCAAGGAAATTACCTGATCTGTCGATTGAACAAAGTTATCTACTGTTGTTATAGGTTATGGTTTCACTCAATCCAAGTCTGATTACTCCTTATTCACCAAGCAAACATCTTCCTTTATTGCTATATTAGTCTATGTTGATGACATAGTTATAGCTAGTAATGATCCTACTGCTACAAATGATCTCAAGTTTGTTCTGCGCAATCAATTTCCCATCAAATATCTTGGTACTTTGAAGTATTTTCTGGAACTTAAGAAAGATCTAATTTTTATAAGACTGGTTTTTTTGAATCCAGAACAACTTCAGCACAAGGCCTTTTCTTTTCGGTTACATCTCCAATTCATCTTAAATCCATTTGTTGTACTGATTGGGTTGGATGCCCTGATACACAACGTTCTGTTATAGGTTTCTGTGTATTCCTAGACAATTCTCTCATTTCTTGCAAGTCCAAGAAACAAATCACATCTGCTCGATCATCTGCTGAGGCAGAGTATAGGGTCAGGCTGCGAATTTACTTCTTTGCTTGCCCTCTTGCTGATCTTCAGATCTCTCATTTTCAGCTGTGACAATCAGGTTGTCCTACATATTGTAGCAAAACCAATGTTTCGCATATTAAACTCAATTGTCATTTTGTCTAGGACAAAATACAAACAGGCATTCTCAAGACACTAGATGTCACCTCTTCCAATCAATTAGGTGATGTTTTCACCAAAACCTCTTGGCACTAGATCCACACTCCATCTTGAGGGCCATGTTCAGAGCGAGGCAATTCGCAGATTGCTTAGCTGTGCTTAGCTGCCTAGATTGTTAAACAATTAGTTACAAAATGTATTTAATTAGTTAAGACTCTTGTTAGGTGTGTGTTAGTTTGTTAATAAGTGTGAGGCGGTGCAAATGTAATCCTCCAGTAACTGGAGTAGTTAGTTCAATCGAATACATTTTCATTTTCTCTGTCTCTGTCTCTCTCTCCCCTCTGGTTCTTCTTCTTTGTTCTTCTTTACTTCTTCATTTCTTCAAATTTTAATAAGCTTTGAAGGTAAATTTTCCGATGGATTTGCTCAGCAAAAGCTTCAGGCTCGAGAGAGGATCATCGCTGAAAAGGCTTGGAAGATCAAACAGCTCTCATCTGGCTTCGGAATTGGCGTTTTCTTCTGAGATTGCTAGAATTACTGCATATGAGCGGCTTTCTCAGTCTATGAGGTTTACCGGCGAGTCTAGCGGCAGTAGGCGGAGGAAGAACAGAGCATTGGTGTTGTTGAGTAAGATCTTCTGTTGGAAGAAAATAGGCGGCGATGAGAAAAAAGGGCAGGGTGCGGTGGAGACCAGGGCCAAGCCGACGACGCAAGTGGTGCCGGAGGAGTCGGACATGAAGAAGAAAAGGCAGTCATCATGGCTTCCTGGTCCTCACCGGCGATGGCCTGTTCAAGGACGGTGATGCGAAAACTGGAGGTGTGTTTAAATTGGATCATGATGATATGAGAAAACTTTTCATTTGTTCTGGAATACCACTCCCACTCCCACTCCCATTTTAACTCATGTGTTTTAAATTCTTGGGTTTCTGGTCACAGTATTGTCAATGAAAAAGTTCATTTTATTCTTTTTTTTTTTTTTTTTTTCAACAATTAGGGTATATGTGTCAACTTACTTTAATTTTATTTCAATTATTTGTCTCCAGTCTCGTTAAAAATAGATTATCTATATCGAAATTAAAATATTCATAAAAAATTTAATTTTAATAAATTATCAAAATTCAAACCGAAGACGTTTGAATTTACATCTATCATTTGAACTACCTTTTTGAATATTTTACCGTTGTTTCTATTATTTGGAGAGATCTCATTGTACACGATGGATCAATAGTTATTCTAAAATTTGTTAACCACTTGATTTCAATTTATGTTTACCTAACTACTCTGGGTAACGGGAAGGAACCTTGCTGGTGTTTAAGGTTGCTAAAAATCATTCAATCATGAGATTCGTCAACACGAAACAAATATGAATTTTATGTCTTTCTTAAGTTACCTGATTTATAAACGAATGGATCCCGATATACACTATAAATAAACGAATTAGGTATAAATGAAATCAATAAAAAAAATATAAGACACTATTTGTTTATATTTTAAATATGCATGATTTATACACAATTCGATTCTAAAGTTATAGGATTCTTTATATATGAATTTATAAAAGAATCAAGTATAAATAAATTATTTTTTTGACGTGAACTCATTAACTCTCCTGTACTCTACACGAATGTACTTCACCTAAAATGATTAATAAGCCTATTCGCTCGTATAGTTTGGAGCTTGAGCTAATCTACAATACCTATATTGGCAGTAGAATCCGATCAATCAAAGCTAAACTGAATGTTATCCTACCCAAGTTCGAAAGATTGGGAAATTATATGTACTTCTCCTCCCCGTATTTGTTACTTAATTAGTTAGACTGTATGATATTTAAAATATTATTATACATAGACTCTTAAGGTTTATATACGTGTAACACTTAAACTTCTATCGTCAATGTTCATTAGTAAATTATACTTAAACCTCTTAAAATATATAGACATATAATATTTAGACACTTCAAGTTTAAAATATTAGACTTAAACACTTTATTAGTTATGGAACTTACAAAATCTATTAAATAATAAAATTATCCTAATTAAAAATAGAAGATATTGTGTCAATTACAGTTTGACCTCTTATTTAATTTTTTAATTTTATTATAATAGATAGTAAAATTATATGCAAATGAGTGTTGCATTGAATTCTTTAATATATTTATATTGATTATTATACGTAATTCATATCTTTGAGTCACTTATTGACTTAGGCATCAGAAAGTCAACCTCCGAAGCTCCCTTTTGGTCTCCGCCTTATTTTTTCAAGTGATCGAAACTCAATAAATTGATGTGTAGGTCATTCAAATTTTGACATCAACAATATTAATTATAATTTTTGTAAGAAAAAATTGAATTTTTATTTTTAATTTTATTTTAATAAATGACATAATAGAAAACAAATTTTGGTTGTAAAATTTAAAATATTTGATATGCTATTTTTAATTGAAATATTTTTTGTCTAAGGGTAATATTTTAAACTTGAATGGTCTAAATGTTATAAGCCTACAAATTTCAGTGGGTCTAGGTATAATTTACTAACGGATAGGCATTGATGGTAAAGGTGTAAATATTATGCTTGCACAAATTTTAGGAATTTATATGTAATATTTCGAATATTAAAAAATCTAAATAATTAAATAACAAAGCTTAAGGGTCTGAATATTATTTTTTCTAAAAGTTTATATTGGCGGTGGATATGTCTGCGTAAAAAGAGATTAGAGTACGCATAACAACCCAAACGAGTAGATGTGTTGCTAGTCAAGAAAATCCCAAATGACAGCCAATCATGTCGTGTTCATTCATCCTACCACGCAGTTTCTTGCTGGTTGTCTGCGTAATTCAAGCTAAAACAAAACCATGTCTTCGTTACGCAAACTAAGAAGAAGACTACGGTACAGAAGAAAAGAAAAATGATATCGTACCAACCAAGTTTACAAATTTTGGGAGTTAAAATATAAATTTTAACTTTCAGGGCCATATTATAATTTTTATATTTTATATCAAGAGTAATTCATACCTGAATGTACGGTGTAACATAAACCAATATGTTAATTTGAAAAAAAAAATTATTTTAATTTATTTTAATTAAATAAATTAAAATCAATATAGTCCCTAAATATTTTTTGGGAATTATTTTAAAAGAGCATGCTTCTAAATATAAGAGCCCAAGAAAATCTGAACCACTCTATACAACTCAGCATCTCTTAAATATACAATATAATCAAACTTAAAATTCATAGCTGATAACCATACAAAAGAATAAAATTCTTTCCAAAATTACTACTCCGAACCACCCAACTATCAAGACAATCATTCATTCCATTAAAAAAAACTAATCACCACGTGTAATTAGTTCACTTTATTAAATTCAAGACAAATACAACACACACGGAAAGAAAAAACTATCATCAAGACATTCAAAGAGAAAACTAAGACAAACATCCTATGCGTGAAGGCACTTTGCAACCCACACAAATTTGGTTAATTTGATGTAGGTTAATTCACAGATTTAGTTATTTCGATATTAAGAAAATGATACATATTTCTCAACCACAAAGAATAGATGGACTTATTTGAACTAGCAATGCACAATGTGTGTTGGACTTAAATAAACTTAAATAATATTTATTTATAAAAAAATATGAGTTATATATATAATTAAATTAATAATAAATTAATTATTGAATAATTTATATTTTAATTATTGCTAAATTTAATTATTAATTTATTCTATAAGTGTTTTGTGTATCTAATCTATCATTTATTTAGATATCTCTTTGATCACTTTAGGCATTTTCACATCTAATTATATTATATAATTATTAAATTTTATTTTTTTAAATATATTTATTAGATCGCTTATAATATTATTATATATCAAAAATAAAATATAGCATATATTTGGTCATTGAATTAAATCTGATCACTACATGTGTATAATAATTTAACATATATAAGAGTTTACTTCATATAGATATAAAAAATTGTATGTAATTACATTACTAATAAATGAGTTCAAAAAAATTTAAAAATCCTCAAGTTGAAAGTTAAATAAGAGTAAAAAAATAAAAATTAAATGAAAGCACAAAGGTATTGAATTTATTATAATAATTAATAATAAAATAAGAAATCAAAATTTTTTCATAAATATTAACATTTATAAGTAGTATATATATATGTTGTTAAGAGTAACATGACCATTAAATTTTTTTGCAAAAATAGAAAGATTTATATGATATGATAGAGATTATTTTGTTATTTAAGTATAGAATGATAAAATGATAATTTGTATATCTAAATACAAAAAGACATGTTTGTCTTTATAGTTTTTTATAAAGGTAAAATATTAAATCAATTTTTTTTTAAAATTATTTTTATTAATAGTATAGATAGATATAGATATAAATATAGGTAGATAAATTAAAAATCGAAGAGCAACGGGAGCCTTTTTTATGTTCTTTGCAATTGTCAGTAGGGTTGGAACAAAACTCCTAATGGTCTTTTTTTTTTTTGGTGGATTTTCAATTAAAAGGATAAAAATAAAATATAGTAAAAATTAATACTTCTTTAGAATTATTTAGGAAAAGTAAAACTTGATTGTTCAATTATAAATTTGATAGAATTGAATTATTTTTTAGGATAAAAAGTAAGAAAAATTTTATCCATACCTCATATAAATAGTTCTATTTTCAATGACATCTTTTATCTATTCTGAAATTTTACTACACTCTCTCATTTTTAACGGACGCGACGCGACGGAAATTTATCACTTTACCCTTAAACTTTATATCTATCTATATATATATATATATATATATATATATATTCAGTCCATGATCATATTCCCCAAAAATCTCTCTCTCTCTCTCTCAAATAGCTGATGGGTTTTAGTAACTGCAATGGAGAATCCCAGGGGTTGAAAGACTTAGCGCAACAGCTTAGTCTCTACAAGCCTCTTCACCCTCTAAACGACACCAAAAACAAGAATCCCAATGAAGACCCAACAACTCGAGACACATCAGATAAGTTGTTTCCCAAAGAATTCGATTCGAAAACCGAATTTGCGACAAACCCAATTGCGAACCAATCTGAAAGATTGAGATCCAACAGAGCTGCAGTTCTGATCTGCATCTTCGAAGGTGAAAATGGTGATCTTTGTGTAATTTTCACCAAGCGATCTTCAACACTTTTGTGTCACTCTGGTCAGAGTCTCATGGTATATGTATTAGATTCTGGTTTTTAACATAGTTAATTTTGAAGAGAGAAGACCGAAATGGGTTGTATTTGGTTGCAGGAGATGTTTTGTTGCCTGGTGGGAAAACAAAGAAAGACAATGCTCTTTTTCTTTTTATTCTCCCCTCCTCACATCACCCCTACTCTCTCTTTCTTTACCCCTCTCTTCTTTTTCTTTTTGTGTCACTCTGGTCAGAGTCTCATGGTATATGTATTAGATTCTGGTTTTTAACATGGTTGATTTTGACAAGAGAAGACCGAAATGGGTTGTGTTTGGTTGCAGGAGATGTTTTGTTGCCTGGTGGGAAAACAAAGAAAGACGATGCTCTTTTTCTTTTTATTTTCCCCTCTTCACATCACCCCTTACTCTCTCTTTCTCCCCCCCCCCCCCCCCATCTCTCTCTGTCCCCTCAAATCCCTTCCATCTGTGTCGAGATAGGAGCAAAAAAATATCAAATTGATTTGGGGGTTTTGTGCTGGTTGTTGATGCAAGGGTTGTGGTGGTGGATTGGTGGTGTTGGGTATGTGAAAGCTGATTGTTGACGGTGCGTGTGCGTGCACATCGTGGGAGTGGTTGATGTCAAGTGGGTTTGGAACAGATTGGGTATGGGTGTGGGGCTGAGTAGAAACTGAACTCTCTCGGCAAACCCTTTCTAGCTATGTTGAGATAGGAGCAAAAAAACCTATCAAATTGATTTAGGGGTTTAGTGATGGGTGTTATTGCAAGGGTTGTGGTGGTGGATTGGTGTTGGTGGGGGCGGAATTGTGTTGAGAAATGAATGGAGAAGGGTGGTTCTGGCAACGGCTTTCTTTTATGGAGTGTGTACTAATATGTATTCTGAGTTTAAAGCTTTAGCTGATGCCCATTGCTTGATCAAACAGTATGGTTTATGTAATTGCTGATTTGTTATTGAATGTGATTCTTTGTCCTTGGTGAATTCTATCTTGAGGAAGAGTGAGTGTGCTTGGCGTTATCAAAAGTTGCTGGGTCAGATTTCAGAAATGTTGCTATAAATTGATTTTCAGCTGGTTCATGTTTTTCGAGAGGCTAATGTTGTAGCTGATAGGTTGGTTAATTATGCAGTAAAATGTGGTAGATCTGAAAATTTTTCTGTAGGTTTTGCGGCTGCTTTGTGAAGTTAGAATGGCTCTTCTTCAGGATGAAAGGGGTTTGCCAGTGCTACGAAGGAAGAGGTTGTTGTGTTTGATGATATGGGCTGATTTGGTTTTTTGCTGTTTGAAATCTTTGTGCTGAACAAAGTGGCTGTTTTTCGGTGAAGCCTTTGTGCTGGAGATGCTGTTTTCTCTGGGTTGCTGTTGAGAGTTTCTTCTCTTTTCCTGCTACTAGTGCTTCAGTTGCAACAATCGGAGTGCTGTAACAAGGAAAAAGCAAAGGGATTGTCGGATAGAATAGTTTTTTCCTAGTTTTGTTTAATTTTTGTTGCTTGTTACGGAGATTGGTTTATCTTTCTCCTTTTGGTTCTTGTAATGTTGGTTTGTTCATAAACAATTTTTTTTTTTTGTTAAACAAAAAAAGGCACGCGAAGAAGAAAGAGGTAAAATAGGTATTTTTGAAATAATATAGGATGATATCAACTTTTTTTAGTTGTCAATAATAATTTGTCACCATAAGGGTATAATTGAAATATATATATGAACTATAAATGAATACAGTAAAATTACAGAATCGAAAAAGAATATTATTGAAATTAGACCTATATGCGGTAGGTGTCGTTAAAATTTTTCCTAAGAAGTATGACTGCCGGGTGTTTTTTCCAATATTTTTTCGTATGGGACTCCTTATAGGTTGGGTATTTTGATTAGTAAAGAAAAAAAAAACGTAACAATAACACGTGGCAATCTTCCATTGGTGCATCCATCGATTTCCAGGCGCCTGCGGTCCGTCAAACAAGGACCAGTGACCACCGCCTCACATGAAACAAGGAACAGAATCGATCAAATAGGATATATGATTACCGTCGATCTCTATGCATCTCTTAATATTATCCGTCCATTGTTCTTGTCCCTCCTATATAAAGTTGTGGTTTCCCGGTGTTCCGCACTCTCTTTCTCTCTGCGCCGTTGTGTTCCCCAAATATGTTGCTACCCCCTCCACCATGGCTCGGGTTTGACCTGAAATCGTTAGACGATTTACCTTCTTATGGTGGTTTTGTTGGCCTCCTTCGTCGATTTCTCTTCTCCGAATGAGATCCCAGTAAACCTTATGCTAGTTTGAGATATTCTTGATCCATCCTTTGGTGATTATTATCATAGCTCGATTCTGATGACTCATTCAGATTTGCAACTTTGGGATAAGTACATGTGTGATTCACCTTACCGGTATACTAATCCGAGTTATTTTTGGATAAATTTCTTTGCGGTTGGTTCGATTGGATGGCCGTTTTGCTAGGGTTGTTTTATTGATATGATTTTTAGTGCTTTGGATGTAATCCGTATGATTTATTGTGTTTGTGCATCAGCTGCTCATGTTCTTCTGTTCTGTGTTCATCGACGCTACTTTCTTGCGAAGCTCGAAGGCTTTTGGGGACTTTTCGTGTGTTGCCTCCATCTCAGACAAGGTCTTCCTGTGGCTAAGTGTCTTCTGGACTTTCTCAATTCAGTGCACTGATGAAGAAAATTCATGTCAATGATCAGTTTGACGCGTAATCTTAGGATGTGGTCTGGCAAATCTGGAGGGTAAGTTGTGTGAAGATGTAAAAAGACATATCAGGACAAAGAGGGGGTCTGAGTCCGAAAAAATGATCTTCTGTCATCAGACCTTTGCCATGACAGGTGCGCTTGCATGGCAGGTCACCTAAAATATAATAAAAATATGAGATTTTTTGGTTTTGGGGGCGAGATCGCACGGGGTTTTTCCCGGGTTCTCCCCCCCTGATGTGGTGCTTCGTGTGTTGCTTGTGCTTTTAATGTGCTTGAACATGTATGATATATCTCACAATCGAAGCAATTGCGGGCATCATCATCGGCCAAATGATTCAAAGCTCCCGAACCTCCGGAGGTACACACCGAATATCTCTTCAATTCAATTCCTAAATATGCATTCGTTTAGTCCATCACAACATCTAAGTTGTCGTGTCACTTCCAGCCTTATATATAATGCAAGTTACAGCATCCTGATTTACGAATCTCTTTACATATTAGGCACTCAAATTTAAACAGGGCAAACTCAAATTTCAAGCAGGGTAAAATATGACTATTGAAATTTTAAACTGAGAGTGAAATCTAACCATTGAAAATCTGAAAAAAAAAAATTGAGTCTTTTTTTATTTGAGTAACAATACTTTTCATTTGGCATGAGTTTGAGTGAAAGACAAACTTGTTTCTAACGTATTTTTAGTCAAGATTTGAATAAGGCTTAAAGATGCCCTTGAGTTCATACCTACCCATCAAAAAAAGTTTCTTACCTACATTTGAGTAGTTGGTATTAGCCCTCCATTTACTGTAAGCTATCGGTGGCTTCATAATTTTAGAATTTCTCTCTTCATGAGTATCTGATACATCAAAATCCATTTTGTTAGGGCCAGCCTTTTCAAGTTATGGTAGCCTTGTGTACTAAGTTACTATTCAGTAGGAATATGAAAGAATTACATGTCCATTGAAACTATTATTTAATTAGTAATTTGTTTGGTCAGATAGACACCTGACTCCTGAGAAATACACCACCAGTAACTGTTTTCTTTGAGTATTTTAGTTTGTATCAACCAGGATGGTGTTTTTTATTAGAATAATGTTATTTGGACTTAAAATTTGACTTAATTTGCTGACATAATGATGTGGTTTTATATGAATCATTTGATCAATATCAAGTTCCAATGTTTGATGGAGCCTATCGTCAATCTAAAGGTTACGGTGAATTAGGTCAGCAAATTATGTACCCTAAGGAAGGTAAACTGAATTCATCATTGTAAGGCCATGAAGTGAAACTTGCAGAATTGACAAGTGAATTACAAATTGAACCTTGCCCATCCATCGCCTTTCCTATTGCCCCAACTTACCCCAATCGGCTAACAAAAGCACCAACCACTTACATGGAGACAATGGGTCATAACTGGATTCCTTAATGACATTATCATGCTTATCTTATTGGTTATGCTTCCCTCTCTGATGTGTTTGGTTGTGCAAAATTCACGGCAGCTTTGCTGTATGCTAATTCCATTTGGTCATTCATTCAATATTACAAAAAAAAAAATTCAGTTTTGGTGGTCTCAAAATTTCATGAAGCTATACTGTGTGTTTTGCTCCAATTAATGGTACGCTTACATGGTAAAAGAAATGGAGTGCATTCAGCAGCCCTATGATATTAGCACTTTTTTTGGGGAATTACTTACCTTTTACAATCATCCCTTTCTTTGATCCATTCATGTGCGGTTTCAAAATTACACTACCAATTTCTATGTGTTTCTGCATTTTGTACTGTTGATGTAAAGGCCCAACTGAAAGAGCTTTGTGATAGTTTTACCATATGACTTGAGGATTGTTTTGGAGAATAGTTGTGGGATTCATAGTTTTGTATTGTTTGATGGTTGGTATTTGGGATAAGGGTGATTGTTCATTTGAATGGTCTTGTACCTGGCTTTCACTTTTGGCTTTCTGAGATGGTTTCTTCTAGCAACGATGGCAGCAAAGATAGCTGTTGTTCTTTCATATGTTGGAGGTCAATGGTCTCTGCAGAAGCTTGTTCTTTATAGCTCGGCGAGCAATTGGGTTCGTGTCCAATTGTCGGAGGTGCTGTTTATGACTCGGGGAGCATCAGAGTTCCTGTCAAACCTTTGGAGCTGGTTTTCATGGTTTTATTCTAAACATGCGTGTTCACATTCCATGGCTTGCTGCTTTTGTTGATGGTCCAAGGGCTTTGATTATATGAGGTGCTGCTTATGGCTCTGGGAGCATCAGAGTTCTCTAACCTTTGGAGCTGGTTTTTCATGGTTTATTCTAAACATGGGAGTTCATATTCCATGGCTTGCTGCTTTTGTTCATGGTCCAAGGCTTTGATTATTTGAGGTGACAATGTCTTTGCTCTATTGATCCTGCTGCCAATATCACTCGGTATACATTTTTCACAGTGAAATTTGTTGAGGTAGTCGTATTAAAATACTAAGGAATTGATTTACTTACCATTATTTTTTTTGTAATTGCGTTGTTTTTTTTTTTTTTGGCAGTAGTTTAGATGAGGTACATGCATTGTTGTGTTGCCCAATTGTGCAGCTTTAGACTCGACTGGAACAAGATAAATTGTTTGTGCAAGTAGATGGTAATGATGTAACTGCCAACTTTTAGTCACTTCTTTCTTCATATTTCCTAGTAGTTTTCTCGTTCAATGATCAATTTTTAATGCCAATCTTGGTTCCTTTTCCATGTTATTTCTTTTGCGACCTAAATATTACTGTTGATGGTTGGTTTTGTCAGTTTCTCTTCTGGAACTTGGTACATTTACATCTGAAATCGACATTATTTATTAGCTAACTCTTTCTATTGTAACAGAAATACCTACACTGTTTTAAGAATTTGCCTACTTCGATTGGATTTTCTGTTTGGGATCTTGGCATTTGATATTTTCTGGTTCATCTGTGTAAAATAGTCTTTTTTTTTTTTTAAAGTAATAGATCACGACGTTTATGTATTAGCGAGTGTTTGAAGAATCATGTAGAAGTTTCAATTGTTAAGGCTATTATATTTCTACCTAGTAATTTTCTTGGTTTTTTAGGGAGTTTCTGCACATTTTTTGGGTTTTTTTTAATATGTGGGTGGGGGGGGGGGGGGGTAACTTTCAGTTAATTTATGTGTTTGAATTTGGAATTTCAACCAGCTGCTGTACGTGTAAAAGATTTGATTGTGAACAGTTCAGAGAGGTGCTCAGATTTTTCTGCTGTGTGAACTCTGATTTTTAAAAAATTGGACAGCAATATTATGGTAATCAGTTGGGAAATGGGCATTTGCCAGCTTAGTACGTGGTGGGAGTCTTGTGCACTTGATTGCTTCATGCTGTTGGTTGGCCATTTTTTTTAATATTCATCTATATTCTTAAATTTGAGCCTTTTTTAGTGGTCACTGATATCTTTTGGAGATTCATTTACCTTAAAAATATGGTGATGGATTCGGTGGAGGTTTTGGTGTAATTGGTGCTTAAGCTGTCTTCAGCCAATTGTCACCTTGACATTGCGCTACTAAATGAACCTCTCTGATTGTTTCATGTTCATGGGTTGACAATTTGCTAAATGTTAGTGTGCCAGATCGAGACTTGCACCCTTGGGGAGGCTCGGAGGAAACCTGTTCCCCCATCTCTTGTGGAAAACGAGGCAGCTAATCTTCTTCAACCTATTCTGCTATTTGGTTTACTAAAACAAAAAAATTAGCGAGTACTCAGGCTGGTGAATCCAATCCAGAAACACCCTTTATTTTATTTTTTTAATGGTATTCAGCAATATTTTGCTATTTTGGGCATGAAAAAATCCTACTTGCATTTTCTAGACTATACATAAAGTTGATGTTAGCCGAGAGTGGATCCTAACAGCATGTACACGAAGATATTTGCGACACTACATCAGGTCTGAATCACCTTCGTCTTTTTGTTTCCTGAGGTCTCACAGCCTGTATGGTCCCATACGAAGAAGAATTGTAGACAGAGTCATGTTATTCAAACCTAATTTATTGACTGTTAGATTGATTGTAATGAATTAGGTCTACTGATTGTCCCATGACTTTCCGTGAGATCCGTTAGCTCTAAATGGAAGAGCGCTCAAGTCTGTTCCTGGTTTGAGAGGCTGGTGGTTCGAATCCACTCGGATCTATTTTCATCTTTTACTCTATACTGGTGTGCCCCTATTGTGCAATCGTTATTGGTCATTCAAATTTGTTGCTTTTGGGGTTTTCTTCCCCTTAAACAGTTTGATAGAACTAGTCTGGAAAACAGAGGTTCTTGCTAACGGTATCCTTCCTTGAAAACCGAAAGAGGCCATCTGACCGAAAGCTTCAACCTCCAGGTATGTATCATTAGCTAAGCAGATTGCATGCTTTCGGTAATCATGAATCCCAAAAAGTAGTCAAACCCATGAGACTAATTGGTTGGACCTTTCATCTTGTAGAGTGGCAGAAGATAGACACTGATGAATGCTCAAATGGAAACCCAGACCCAACAACGATATTAGGAAGTGTTTTAGTGTGAAGCCTCTACTTTATAATTCCTCATCCACTGTATGAACAACAAAAAATCAACCCGATGTGCTTGGTTATAGATTAATCATAAGCCCTCTAATTTGTACTTATCACTGACTGTTTTTTTTTATATTATTACAGTATAACAATGCCATTAGAATTTCTACATTGATGCTAATTATCCTTGTTAGTATGTGTATTTTGATTTTTTTGCAGGCCTTTCCATTCGATGGGTTTGAAGTTGACGGAATATAAGGCTACGTTGCAATGTAAAAAAATTAATATTTGAGGGTACAAAATGAGCTCGGGTTTTATTCATCCAAAAAGTAAAACAAAACTCTGCCCAATTTGACACATTTTCCCCTTTATTTTGCCAAAATTTATAAATTACCCTATTCTCTTTTTCTTCACCTATGCAACATTGTATACTTGTTATTCATATATTGGCCCTCACAACTAGAAACCTGGCTCCCCCTGCTCGCCGTAAGGCTATTTGAGGCAACCAATATACCTTGTTCTACACTAAAAACTTGGTTAAATTTAATTCATTTTTCAATTTAATCGAGCTAAAATTAATTCGAATCTGATTCTAGCTCCAGTTGTTTGACTGACATATCTTAAAGATCAATCCAATTTTAAAAGATCAACCCAATTTGTTGATCAGACGCAATCAAGTGTATTCAAACATTCTGATTAGCCGTAGAAAAGTTGGGTTTAGTTCCCATTTCACTCAAACGGCTTAGCAACCCCAAACACTAGCAAAGAACAGCCCTTGCCGTTGCCCCAGAGTAGTAAATGACCTAGTTAAGTGGCCAACAAATTACAGTATAATTATTGATCCAACTTGCTACAATGAGATCTCTTCAATTTGAACATATCAATTAATAGAGGCGAGAAAAAGATGTACATTTTCGATTGACAATCTTATGACCAGAAACCCAAGAATTTAAGCTTTCTCATATCATCATGACCCAATTGAAACCCACCTTCCAGTTTTCGTATCACCACCCTTGAACAGGCCATCGCCGGTGAGGATCAGGAAGCCAAGAAGACTGCCTTTTCTTCTTCATCTCCTCCGCCACCACTTGCGTCGGCGGCTTGGCCCTGATCTTCGCCGCACGCTGCACTGTGATCTGATCGTCGCCTATTTTCTTCAAACAGAAGAACTTACTCAACAACGCCCATGCTCTGTTCCTCCTCCGCCTACCGCCGCTAGACTCGCCGGTCAACCTCATAGACTTTGAAAGCCTCTCATATGCAGTAATTCTAGCTATCTCAGAAGAAGACGCCAATTCCGAAGCCAGAAGAGAGCTGTTTGATTTTCCCAGCCTTTTCATCGACGATCCTCTCTCGAGCCTGAAGCTTTTGCTGAGCAAATCCATCGGTAAATTTGCCTTCAAAGCTCTGGAGTTCGTCGTTATATCTAATTTTCTAGTCCCATATTTTATGGTTCGGGATTGGTTGCTTCTGTTTGTGGTTTGCGTGGACTTACGTAGTTTTCCGGGAATAAATCGATGATTCTGTGAGAAGTGGTCGTCGGTGTCCCATTATTAATACAATTCAATTTTTAAATATTTTTTCATGATTTTGACAGTCTAGAATATCAAACTAGGATACAATGCGGTAAACGATATCAATTTAAAGAGTTCTGAGTCTTCTTTTATATCACTTATTTTATAAAAAGTGTGTACACGATATAATTAATAGACAAATAAAATATAATTAAAATAAATACATGACAAAATTCGTTATGAATAATTTTAAATTATATAAAATTGTCTTATAAATTTATTTAAGATTTTTAATAAACCTATTTTCTAGACTAAATTTGTCTCGCTGCAAGTTTTATTCCACTAGTGGTTGAAAAGAGATCTTTCAGGGAACGTTAACAATAATGGGTTCAGGATAAAAGTCAACTTTGTGGGATTGTCTTTATCTCACAGACCTGTGGAGCGGGGATCATTTCATTAAAAAACACAAAGTGGTGGGACGAGGTTATGTAGGTCCCAGTTCAAGCAGAAGAACCAAGTGCAATACTAATAGGCTAAGTGACCTTAAATTTGAATCGTAATAATTTTTTGAAATTAAATTATTAAAAAATTATTTTTTATAAATATTCTAACATCAGGATAAATGATATGTTTTTTTACTAGATCAAGAAAAAGATTAATTAAGATGCCCATAAACTAATTCGAAAATTTTTGATCGTTAAATTAAAAAAAAAATGCAAACAAAAGTGGTGATCATGAATATTTAGGAGTGATATTTTTTAGAATATATTTTTTTGATGAATCATTTTTTATACATTTAAGTGAAATCTCTTATATATAAATTGATCTTTTATTCATAATTAATAAATGATGATCTGCGATAATGAAATTTGAGAAAAAAAATTAATGAGTGGTTAGCCCAATAAGTAAGAATTCGAATTTCTTCACACAATGTTTGAATTCGAATATTCATAATTACGATAGCTCGTGAGATTAAATATATTTTTTAGTGCTCAAAATATGCGATGGAACCTTAACTTCAGTCCCGACATAGGTGCGATGAAATCTCCTATAGAAAACTGTGTGGTGGTGAACAACAATGTTCATAAATAAATATGTTTATTTTTAATAAAAACAAATGGAGAAAAAAAGAATTGAAGGGGTAGAGTAAGTTATGGTGCAGCTTAATACTGACGTGGATCTCAGTCTGACTCCTCCAGAGTCAAAGACCCATGTTTTCGGAAATATAGAAACTTTTTTCGGTGCGTTTCCCTACTCGTTACTCCTTACCTACTGCCGTTCATTCTCATTGTCTTGTTGGCAAATTTCACAGCTAGCATTTTCATTGTTTTCATATGGTTCATCATATCAATTGTCAATGAAGTTTCGATGTAATGAATGAGTTAGGAACGCATTTGCAATGATACCTGGAATAAAATGGACGACTCATATTAGGTAGACTATTCACATCATTTGCACGAGCTGACCAGCCTCACTCCAAGATAAAAATATATTTTTAGGGTCATGAAACCTGTCAAAGATAGCCTTCAGCATGCGATGCGACTACTAGAAATGACAACAGGAAAATTTCATTAGTAAACCTTACCTTGGACGAGTATGCAATTCTAGAAACTTACACCATGTCGTGGGCAAAGCTATAGGCCTCACCCAGATCGAAGAAGGCCTCAAATTTTTGTTTATTTTAATAATTCATATTAAAGTTTTATATTTATAGCATGTATAAGTCTAGCAAAAAAGTATTATAAGAATATAATCTAATTAAAAAATTAATAAGACCCATAATTAAAAATTTATAAATGACTTAACTGTAATATTTATTAAGAATGAAATACGAAAAAAAAAGTTTTTATTGAAAAGCAAAAAATATATATTTCGAATGAATGTAATTTAATATTTAATATTTTTATTATTATTATTTTATTAAATATTAATTTGACCTCATTTATAAATTTCGCTTTAGACCCACAATTACATTGGGCCGCCCCCTAGCAAAAAGTTTCATAACAATAAAATATTTCCCAAATTCTCACCGACAAATTATGTTATATAAAACAATAATTACTATGAAAAAAAATGATAAACTAAAGTACGGTCCTAAAAGAAATCTTATCATGTATCTTCTTCTTCCTCAAGAAATGCACAAAACAAAAACAAGAGTATTTATTAAACAGTGGACTACTCCTGTTTTTCCTAAAGGAAACCTTATAATGTATCTTTTTCTTTCTCAAGAAATGCACAAAATAGGAACAAGAGTCTTCATTAAACAGTGGACTACTCCTATTTTTTCTAAAGGAAACCTTATGATATATCCTTTTCTTTCTCAAGAAATGCACAAAACAAGAACAAGAGCCTGCATTAAACAGCGGATTACTCCTGTTCTTCTTAAAGGAAACCTTATGATGCATCTTCTTCTTCCTCGAGAAATGCACAAAATAGGAACAAGAGTCTTCATTAAACAGTCGACTATTCTTGTTCTTCAGCAACACGAACCACTTAAATTTTTACATTTTATTCTTCTTAATTGACTACTTATTCACTTTGCTTAATCAACAAGTCACCCATCTCACAATTTCTTAGTTGTTTACAGCATCAATTTGCAATGAATAATTTAAGCTGGTTCATCCAAACACAATTCAAAATATTCAATAGTTGAACAACAATTTTTAGTTGTCAGGTCAGATTAGGATACTTTGTTAAAAGTTTTACAACATAATTAATCCCAAGTTGGCTTTTCAACTTGCCCCACCCGCCCGAACGTGAGAGTTTGACCGAGATTCTTGGAGCATCTGAGTCTTCTATCGAATACTTGACCCGTCTCATGTGAGTTATGCAACTTTAAGCTGGATCAAAAGCTATGTTTGGTACTTCTGATGGCAGGGGTGTCAATTTTATCCGTCGACACAAATCTGTTCCAACACAGAATTTAAAAATGACACGGTTAATTGACACGAATGATAAATGGGTTAAAATAAGATTAGACACTATTAACGGGTAATGTAGGTAGAAAAAAAAGTGTTTTTTGTATATTTTCATATGAGACGTTGTAAAATTAAATAATTTTTTATTAAAATGAACACAACACTTAACTTAACGAAAATGATACGAATTGAAAATAACCGGACCAAAAGTGACACAACATAAAAATAATATGATATAACACGATTGACACCAATATCTAATAGGATATTCAAATAAAAAAATTATTTTACTTAGGTTTCGTATCGTCTCACGAAAGGATTTAGATCCCCTCTAATACACTTTTCTTTTAATTTATTTTTTGATTCATAATTCACCATTAATGAGTGATGAACTCGCTACTGATAAGTGAGAGACCCACTTATATACAATGAATCTCACTTGAATAGACGACGGGAGAATTGTCAAAAAAGAAGTTAAAGAAAGAATGTATTTGAGAGATCTTGCGGCCCACGAGAATAGGCTTTAGCCCTTCACAAAACATTGATTAATGACTGACATGTAACTCGATAACTCCGCCGGAAGCCTAAGATTAAGTTTAATTCGACAAAATAGGTGCCACTTGAAGTGGCAACAGAATATGATCCCAGTTCAGGTTCTAGACAGGGCAATGGCCTTTGTTTGGTATAATTGGACTAACAATAGTATCAGGATTTGGCCCATATCATTTTAGCTTGGTTTTTATTTCCTTTCCATTATATATTTATAGCCTGTGGATCACATCCATGATTTTGGATCTCTGTACGTGACGGCGGGTGAAACAATAGGAATACCTCCGTGTGTGACACTGCATGTGTATGGAAATTTGGATTTAACGGTTAGAGATGTTTAAATCAATTTACGTGTACTTTAATTAATTTTTTTCTTCAGTCTGATCAAAAATAAGTCATCTACATCGAAACTAGGATATTCATAACGAATTTCCTCATGGCTTGATCAAGGGCGGAGCTAGAAAATTGTTTCAGGGTGGGCACTGTATATTTTAACGAGCTTAATTGTTTTCTTGTAATTGATAAAAATAGAATAATGCATTTATTTTTAATTATATCCTATTTAATTCATAAAAGTTTATTAAATTAAAAAGACTAATATTGTTAAGTATAGTAGATACAAATGACAATAAAAAAAAATACTAATTATATCCTTTTACCAAATAAAGACTAATCAAAACTATTTAGAATTGATTTCGATAAATTTTTATACGTTGAAAGTCTTGCATTAACTTTATTATTATTATTTATATCCACAATCACATTATCACTTAACTATTTATCATTCATTCGATTATACAATAAAATATATTCTCTATCATGTCGATGATAATTATTAAAACAAATGTTAAAATTATAAGTAAACTCATGGATATATCATGTCTTTTCTAGTTTTGATCAAAAAATGGGGTGGTGCACAATTTAATATATTGAAAAAATACTTCAAATATATATAAGTAATTTTAGAAACAAAAATTTTGAGAGTGGGCATGTGCCCCCCTTGGGCATAAGGTGGCTCCACCCCTGGACTTTATCCTAAATAATTGTTAAAATTCAAATTCAAAGTGTCTGAGTTTACAAATCACTCATGTTATCACTTGAATTGATTTTAGGTTATGTGATACTATACTTTCATTCAAGTGGATAAAGTATGGTTCTTGAGCTATTGGCATCATTGGTTCAGATTGAAAGGTAGGTTAAACTTATTACAAAGCTCTCTAAGTCTATATATATAGCATAGTTGAGCTCAAGAACAATATTATTGAGATTTAATTTACTGACATAATTCACAATGACCTTTAGATTAACTGTAAGTCATATCAAACATTATAACTTAGTGTTGATCTAATAATTCCTATAAAGCCACATCAATATGTCAGCAAATTAAGATATATTTTTAAGTTGAAATAGCATTATTGAAAAATTATTTTCTCATTTTTAGTTGAATTTAGATATAAGTTTGAGTTAGAATTAAAAATGACCTTTTATTTATTTTAGGGCCACCTTCAACTTGGTTGAGGACGAAAAAGCTGATCAAGGCGGGTACAAGAAGTTGGGGTTCGCTAAACAATAATCACAGCATGGGCTTCTACTGACTATTGGGCCAAAACAAAGCCTAGGTCAATTGTGGACATTACATCACAGGATAATCAACTATTTAAAATTCATCGTTAACAATTGAAATAAAATAAAAAAAAATCTCATTCTGTGAGTAAAGTAATAATGCGTCACAATATTGGATGAAATCTGCAGTCAAGCTAATGAAAAACAACAAAATGGATCAGCAACTTCCACTTAACATTATTCTTCTTGACAAGGATAAAATGATAATTTTTTTTTTTTCAATAGTCAGAGTGTTCAGATCGACTCACGCATATTTTAATAAATTCTCTCCGTAGTCTGGTCAAAGACAAGCCATCTATTCTAGAATTAAAATATTCATGAGAAATAAATTATTCGTATCTTAACCCCAAGGCAATACTAAAATTTAAATTTAAGACGTTTGGTTTTACCGTTCCTCTCTATTTTCACTTAGGCTACTGTAATGACAATTTTCATAAGAGTCAAAAAAAATTAAAAAATTTGCAAAGTGACAGGGAACATGGGTATGGTATGGGTACGAAACCATTCCTTTACCTAATTATCCTTCTTCGATCATGCATTTTGGTTACTCCAATGAGTGCCGGCCCAACCTATATGCGACTAACGCCATTGCCTAAGGGCCTAAATTGGAATAAAAATTTAGGGTCTCAAAATAAAATTTTAAATAATAGTATAAATTTTAAATTTTGAGATATAATTTAAATATTCAATATATTTTAACCTTTGAATTGGCGGTGAGTGTTAGCATTAAATAAAATTTATTATTTATTTAATTTATTTAGTCCTCAAATTAACTATATGTAGCATTATTGTAAAAATTTAAAAACCTCTTTGAAAAAATTTTAGAGTTTTAGCGTTTAACCTAATTTTTTTTATCTCACCTAGTGTTTATGTTATATGTATTATCACTTTACAGTTTGATTATTAAAATCAATTGTCTATCATAGAATAAGTATAAATAATAATTTTACATTTCTATAAGTTATATTTGAGGCCAATTTTTAATTTTTTTTTTATAATTCACAAAATGACGACAAAATAAAATAATTAGAAGTAGTGCACTATCTAAAATTAATTAACCATAATTGTCTCACTAAATTTGCTTATTTAAATATAGTCATGTTTCTCTACAGGTGCTAGTAATGTCTCATTTATTTTATGACAAATCAACATGTATAAATTTTTATTTTTATATTCATTTAGAAAAAATTCATTTTATTAGTTAAACTAATTTTTAATTGTGTTTTAATTTATCTTAAATAAATAGCATGTATTATTATATTTGATCTCTGAATTTAACTTCAATTAACACAATTTTTATTTGTAAAATTGGATTTCAAATTTAATTAGTATGTTGAATCTCAAAAATCAAAATAAATAATTTTTAAATAAACATATTTTTATATTTTTATAAATATTTTATATTATAATTATTTATAAATAAATATTAATAGAGTCTCATATACTCCCTCCGTTCTTAAATATCTGTCGCTTTATACAATTTTTTTTGTTTCATAATATCTGTCGTTTTACACAATTTTTTTATTCTATAATATCTGTCATTTTATGAAACCAAAGCATAATAAATATTTTTTTTTCAAATTATCCTCATCTCTATTTTTCAATAAGTGTTTAATAGATTAAGGGTAGACTAAGTACCTTTCATATTATTTGTCTTTTCAATATGTATTGAATAAAAATATTTTAGTCTTGTGTAATTATTTTTTACTCATATTAGAGTTATTTAATAATTTTCTTAATTTATGTGTAAAAATCTTAAGCGACAGATATTTAACAACGGAGAGAATAACATTTTCGCCTACTGCCCCGCTTGGGTTGCCCCCCTGGATTCCTATGTCAGTCTTTGACATATCTACCTATTGCCACATGTGGTAGGGTCAGATTTGATAATAATTTATAACCATATAATCACTCATTGATTTGTTCTAAATAAATGTCAAAAAGTTGATGTTTAGATTCCTTACTTCTATTTTGTCTATATATATATTGAATATATATATATTTTTTTTGCTGGTCACAATTTTTGCAAGGAAGCAATAAAAAATGCATGTTGGTACCTGTCTTCCTAGAAATGATCCCTCATATTTGGAGAGATCTACAAGATAAATCCTGATAATTCAATGTTAGTTGCAAGTTGGTCAATTCTTTTTTTTTGGGCAAGTGCAAGTTGGTCAATTCAATTGTAGCGGAGGAGTTCATTTCAACTTTATTATTGCTGTTTTGGGGTCCCATTTCTGTGTCCCACCTAACTACATTTGTAAGCACTTCAAATCATCATTGGTTTTAATAGAGTTCTCTTTCTCTCGTTTGAGAGCTTCTCTCTCTAAGGAGTCTTTTCTCTGAACTTTCTAGTCTCAATTTCTTTGGTTTGTCGGTCAACCTGGCTGGTGATACTTTCCATAAAGCTTTTTGTCATCTTCTTGATCTAATCTAGCTTCTTGACCTTCTTGTTTCAAATTGTTTGCCGATTAGTCTGAATTATTTTTTTGTCTTTGAGATATAGATCTGGTGCAATAATGAAGGATTTGAGATCTGGACAGGATTTGACTCGCAATCTGCGTCCTTTAAGCCAGGATGATGGATCGAAGTGTATTAAGTTAGAGAACGATGTTGATATCGAATTCGATCTGGAGAAGCATTGTTTGGTCGGAAAAGTTATTATGAGTAGATCTATAAACCGTATTGGGATCACGAACATAATGAATAATGCATGGAGAACCAGAGGTCCAATTTCGGTGGAAAAATGGGGGTTCAATATTTTCCTGTTCGGTTTTACCACAGAGGAAGAGTGTAATCGAATCTATAGTCTATCGCCTTGGTCAGTAATGGGGAAATTACTTGTTCTGAGAAAGTTGAAATCAAATTAGAATATTGATGAGGTGGAGTTTGATAGGAGTCTTTTTTGGATTCAAATCCATGGCCTCCTTGTGAGGAAGAAGACGAAGAGTAATTTGGTGAAGATTGCTAAAATTTTGGGTGAGTTGATCGAGATCGATGATGTAAAGAATCCAAGGCTTCACATGAAACTTTTTCTTCGAATTAGAGTGATGATTAAAGTGGAAGATCCTTTATGTAAGGGTTTCTTCATTGCGAATGAAGATTCGACGCAAGTATGGGTAAGTTTCAATTATGAGAAACTTGCAGATTTCTGTTATGTGTGTGGGTGCTTAGATCATGATAAGGATACCTGTAAAAGAAAATCAGAGCCGAAGGAGGATTGTTGGTTTAGTAGGGATCTTAGGGCGATTGGAGGGAAATCCCCTACAAACCCTATTTCTTCATGAAAAAATGTGGATAACCTTAAAGGAAATGGCAGGAGAGTGGTCGAATCTGTTTCATTTGGGGTAGAGGAAAGGGTGGAGGAGAGAGCCAGTGATGATAGAAAGCAAGAGTTGCAGAGTATAACGGAACCTGTATCAGATGAATATGAATTCCATGGTGATAGTAGGGCAGTGCGTGATTAATTGGTACCCGATAGCATGTGGGAGGCGTGTGGGTCTTTATGCAAAGAAAAACTGGTAACAAATGTTAGTCCACTCAATGAGGACGTGGCTGATGCAGTTACGACTAGCAGAGAGGAAAGAGCAACTGATTCGGAATATGGATTAGCTGGTATGAGTAAAGAAAGAGAACATGCGGGAGTTTGTACTCTTGTAAAAGGGGGTCCACTATGTTTAAGTGATGAAAGGCAAAATGATACTCGGCTTAAGGCTAAGGAGATTGAGTTTAAATTGTCCTCCTTAGAATTGAGTATACAAGATCTGACAGATGTTGTGAAAGAGCCTGATGTCTGGGAGTTGACTTCTGGAGTCAAGAAGGATATTAGGGAGCATGGTAGTTGTAGTCTGTCAGAGAATGAGGTGCAGTACGAGGATCAATTGTAGCAGGAGAAAAGGATTGGGAAGGCTTCAGCGGAGGTACAGAGGTATGTTGAGTTGAGTCTTTCATCTGAAATAAACAGTTAAATCTTAAAAGAAGCATTAGGGTGCAAGAGCATAGCATGGATTTGTCTTATAAATCTCAAAGAAAAGAGGAAGGTGTGTATGCGGGAAAGAATGTAAGGCAGGAATGGGAGGCCAATGTTCTAGATTACCAATCTAATTGGGGGGAGATAGTAGTGTTGGAAGATAATGTTCAGTTGAATGAGACTGAGGAACGAGGACAGAAGAAAAGGAAAATGGTTAAACGAAGCAAGAAGAAAACTGAGTTGATAGTGAAAAACCTTGTGGAAGTACCAGTTACATATTTGATTATGGCTGAGGTGGCGGGCCTAACCATGCCCCCCATTCTCAAATGAAGCTCGTAGCATGGAACTGCCAAGGGTTGGGGTCTTCTTTGGCAGGTTCAGCACTTAGGGACCTTTGTGTCCTATATAAACCCGAAGTTGTCTGGCTATGTGACACAAAAATGAGAAGAAATAGATTAGAGAATTTTAGAAGACAACTAAAGTTTGATAATAAAGTGGTGATGGAACCAAGAGGTTTATTGGGAGGGTTATGTTTGCTATGGAACAAAGGAGCAAATATTACTGTGGAGGAGTGTAGTCAGCATAGTATACATATTAGCTGTAAAGGGATGGGTATGGAAGAACCATGGGCTATCTCGTTTGTGTATGGTCATCCGGAGTATGAGCATATATGTGAGCAATGGTCTAGACTAACTACTCATGGAAGGAGCTTGGATGTCCCCTGGCTTTGTTTGGGGGGTTTTAACGATATGGCATAAATTACAGAGAAGGAGGGGAGGAAAGGAAGGGAGAACAGGAAATTGAAAACTTTCAGAGATCTGATTGATGGGTGCAATTTGGTGAATTTAGAAAGCAAAGGATGTCGATATACATGGAATAATCATAGAGAAGGAGATGCGAATGTAAGGGAAAGACTGGATAGGGCTATGGCTAGTGTAAGCCGGAGGATCAAATTCCCTAATGCTATAGTAATTGTTTCAGCAGCAATTGGGTCTGACCATTCTCCTTTAGTAGTGGATACTGAACCTATGAATAAGAAGCCTAGAAGAATCTTTAAGTTTGAAGCAGCTTGGGTTGATGAAGGGGAGTGTAGAGAGGTAATAACAAATAGATGGATGCAAGTTGGGGAGGGGTCAAGATTATACAGTCTTAAGCAAAAAATAAAAGACTGCAGTAGAGAATTATCTAAATGGAGTGGCCTGAATTTCAGGAATAGCAGAAAGATGATTGAAGATTTAAAAAGAAAGCTCGGAGATGCTCAAGATGCCCAAGTTTCCAGCTTTTCCCAAAACAAAGTTGGAAAAATCTCGAAGGAATTAGAGAAGTTATGGAGGAGAGAGGAGAAGTATTGGGGACAAAGGTCCATATTAAAGTGGATTAGATGGGGAGATAGAAATTCCAAATTCTTTCATGCTACGACAGTACAAAGGAGGCAAACGAATAGAATGGTAAGATTAAGAACTGAAGATGATGAGTGGATAACAGAACCAGATCAAATCAAAGAGGTGGTGGAAAATCATTTCACCAAACTATTCAGCACTGAGGGAAACAGAAATTATGTGAGTATCTTGCAACATGTTCCAAAGCTTGTAACTGGTGGAATGAATGAATCCCTCATAAGGTTACCAGACTTGGAGGAGATGGAGATGAATCCCTCATAAGGTTACCAGACTTGGAGGAGATAAGGAGAGCTGTGTTTGAGATTGGTGCTTTAAAAGCACCAGGACCGGATGGAATGCCTGGTTTATTTTTTCAAAAGTATTGGGATATTGTGGGGATGGATGTTGGGGTAGCTGTCCAGGGATTTTTTACCTCCAGGTTTTATGCTGAAAGCTTTCAATCTTACCAATGTCACTTTGATTTTGAAGGTTCAGCATCCTGAAACTATGGGGGAGTATAGACCGATTAGTTGTTGTAATGTGGTCTATAAGATAATTTCAAAGGTTATGACTAACATGTTGAAGGAATTTATGCCAATATTGACCTCCCAAAATTAGAGTGCTTTCGTGGGACATAGACAGATACAAGACAATATTGTAATTGCCTAGGAATTTCTCCACTCACTGAGACAAAGAAGGAAGACCAGGAAATACCAACTGGCAATCAAGTTAGATATGGCTAAGGCATATGATAGGGTGGAATGAGACTTTTTGAGAGATCTCATGCCACAGATGGGGTTCTCAGTACCTTGGGTTCACATGGTGATGCAATGTGTTTCAACAGTTAAATATCATTTTATAGTGAATGAGGAAGTAACTGCAAGGGTGATACCTACGAGAGGACTAAGGAAATTCCCAATGTAAAGCATAGTTAATTGATCTGGGTGAAGGATTTGATTCTTTTCCCACAGATGAAGTGGAATCTGGATTTGGTTAAGTCTCTCTTCTCTCCTATTATTTTAGAAATCATTTTAACTTTACCCATTAGTTTTACCCAGTAAGATGATAAGGCTAGATGGTGTGGTATTATGAATGGGCAGTATACAGTGAAGAGTGGCTATAATAGTTTGACTTCGGCTATCCCCCTTAATGAAGGACAGACTTCTGCTTCTTCCTCTTATATGATCCCAGGGGAACTATGAAAGGTTGTTTGAAAAATCAGTGCTCTGCCAAAAATTAAATTGTTTGTGTGGAGGGCAGTGTCAAATGCCCTGGCTACTAATTGGAATCTTTGGAGAAGAAAAATTTTGAAATCTCCCTTATGTCCTATCTGTGGGGAAATGGAGGATACTATAGAGCATGTATTTTTACTTTGTTCCTGGGTTGGAGAAGTTTGGAAAGACTCTCCTCTAAAGATACTTGTTGATAGACGGAAGATAACAAGGTTTGAAGAGTGGGTTTTGGAGGTGCTGAAACAACAGGGTAAAGGTGAGAATGGATTGTGTCATCAGACACTAGTAGCTTCACTGTTGTGGGCTATATGGAAATGCAGAAATAACTGGGTATATAATCAGGTTCATATTTTGCCCAGAGGAGTGATAAGTCAAGCTATCTTTGTCGTTGAAGAATGGAGGGGTTGTGTTATGAATGAGCATGATAATGATAAGAAGAAAGAGAGTAAAGTAGATGTATGGAAAGCTCCACCAAATGGTTGGGCAAAAGTTAGTTGTGATGGGGCTTGGTTGCAAGATCAGAAAAGAGGGGCCTTTGGAGTAGTCTTTAGAGACAGTGAAGGAATCTAAATACATGGATGTGCAGGTAAGCTTGCTGCAAACTCAGCCATAATAGTGGAAGCATGTGTCATTAGACAAGCTTGTTGTATAGCCATAACTGTAGGGTATCCTTCACTAATAGTGGAGTCAGACTCAAAAGCATGTGTTGATGCTTTGAATAATGGTAATAATTGCTTTTTGAGGGAAATTGAGGCTGTCCTGAGGGATATTTGGGAATACATATATTTGATTCCTAAGATTGAAATACAATATGTGAGTAGAAAAAACAATAAGATTGCACATTGGGTTGCGAAATAGAAAATCAGGGATATGTTTTCTCCTGATTGGATGTGGTGGCCAACTGAGGTTTTGGAAAGGATATGCGAAAAAAGAAGCACATGAGGGAGTAGGATGATTTTGGCTCCTATGTTTTACTTTACTGTAGGGTGCTTTTTTTTTATCTGTGTTTTTCTGTTAAAGTAGTCTGTAATTGCATTGATTCCTGTAAACTTCATTCTTTTCGAATAATAGAAATATAATCTGATTGACCAAAAAAAAAAATCATCACTGATTTCGTGACATTTTATGTAAATGCATTTCCTAAACAAATTGTCTTCAATTACTGAAATTCGGACAATAATTTTCAGCACAAAACAGCTCGATATGTACAAAGTAATAAAGATTTGGCCACTTCCGCACACGATTTCTGGGACTTCTTCTTCTTTTTTTTTTTTTTTGCTAAAACAAAGACTTTGAAGTGGCTTCGAAGTAAGATCCAACCATCAACATCATTCCTACCCAATTCCTTCTCTGGTTCCCTTGTTCACTAGTTGTATGACTCTACCAGGTGGGTTAACAGCCCAATGTACAGGGATGGAACAATTTCTGGTCATGGAGGCTATAAGGTGAGACAGTTGGTTCTCCTTCCTTCTAACTGCTTGGAATCGAATTGAGGGAAGAGTCCTCATGTACTGTCATATATCCTTTTAGACCATTTCAATGTCTCTTAGCGTCTTCAATGTGCCTTTTGAGAGGCTGTCAATTAGTGCTTTTGAGTCCAATTCAATAATAATGCGCGTGCACGATCCTGCACAATATAAACACTATAATAAATTTCTTTCTGTGGTGAACACGAGTCTGTCAATCGGGTGGTCGATCTTGCTACTTGGAACAAGTTATGAGGGTCGAAGGTGGCCCAAGAAGGATAATGAATCGTGTTTATAAGTCGCCTGAATGATCCTGTGAGGCTCCTGAAACAGAGAAAAACAAGTTAGAAGGGCGCCGGAGTGTTTTCCGTCGTATTCCCTCCGACGATCAAGTCAGTTCTTTGAGAGAGGAAATAAGAAAACATTGTATGATAGTTGAGAGAGGGTTTGTTGCGTACCCCTTTCTTGTGTTTGTGAGGACTATTTATACCTTAAAAACTTATCATTGCTGACAGCGTAGCTAGTAGATAATCATTGGAGGTGGGCAGTGTGCACACCAATCTCTATGAATAATGTTCTTATTCTTAACTGCTCAGGACCCCGAGCAACTAATGCCTTCTCCTTGGTCTGTCGAACGTTTAATGATTTTCCCTCGGCAGGGGTGTATTAAATGCCCAGGCTTTGGGACATTTATTACCTTTCACTTCTAAGCTCTCATGCATTAAATGTTGTCTCATCAAGGGAATGGTGCATTAAATACTTGTTTTTTCAAGTCGTATGTCAGCAAGAGCATTCTGGTCTTTTTGTCTCTGATCTGACACAATATGCCACGTGCCCATTCCCCTTTGGTTGAACCTTCTGTTTTCTTGTGCTTTCTAACACCATTTGAGTAAAACGAGACCATGATGACTAGTCTAGCCTAGCCTAGGCTAGTGATCTGTCCATCAATAGCCCCTGCAGGAATAGAAACACCTACGCGGATAGATACACCTCGGTGCCGAGAGACTAGCATGACTTAGGACCGATATACCCAAACTATCGAGGAATACGTGTCGGTCCATGGTGATTTGGAGATCCTTGATCCCTGTGAATAGAATCCTCGGGGCAGGGGGGTTGAAAATCGACAAAGACGTGTCGAGATCAGAGTGAGAGTCTCCATTGACGCCGAGTATATGTGTCATCATCTAAGAGTGTCTAAAAATGTCCCATCAAATAACTGCGTTGAATCCTTCCACACTTACCAATGAGCAAGTTCTTCGGACTGCCCATGCTTCAGCAGCGAGGGGGGAATGCAATTAGCGCTCTGGGACTTCCTTGAAAGTGCTCGAATCTCTGTTAATTAAAATGCAATTAGTTTTGTTGTAAATTTTTTTTTTTCCATAAGATGTTTAAATTTATGCTAATTACTCTCTTAAATTTAACAGTTTGTCACCGTAGTTTAAATTGAATTAAAATATGTTCCTAAAAAGCTATAGATAATGAACCTTTAAAAAATATGAGAAGGAATTGGCGTAAAATTCACCCCTCAAATTTTGGTGCAAATTTGAGGAATCTGGACTGCCAGTTATGTACTCCGAGGCATATATTTCTTCACATGGTTGAACGTGAAGCGTTGAATACAAAGGGTTAACCTAATATATTTTTTGGAAAATATTATGTAATTTAAATTTTTAATTCAAATTTGTATTCTAAATGAAGGGAATTATTATATTAGTGGATCCTATCAATTTTTTTAAATAGGACCCCGCTGATCTAATGATCTCTTCGTTTGAAATATAAATTTAAATTACGAATTTAAATTAGACAGCATTGGACTAAAAAGATGTTCAAACCCGGCTCCGTCTATTTTAATGCTTACACCGAGTGACGTTGTCATGTGCGAAAAAATAAAATAAAATAAAAAATAACATTTATCATTCTGTGTGTACCACGAGTCCACGTTCAACAGAGGAGGCCATTAAGTATATACAACCCATGTGGTCAATTCAGCACAATGTTACTTTAAACCGGAGCAACTGTATGAAGCAGGGCACCCACTCCGATATTTTTTGTACCCTTTTTAAGTTCATTATTTATTTTTATTTTTTTGTAATTACAGAATATTCAACTTTGCATCCTCGATCTCGGACTTGACCTCAAAAATTCGAGTCAGTTTAAATTACCGTGCTAATGCATGACTGAGGGATTGGGCTCGTAAAAAATATTGAACCTATAAATTTTTATTTATAAAAAAATCAAATTAATTCATTATTTTTATGATTGGTAGACTCTCATTGCTTCCAAATGCAATAGACACCAACAGGTGTCTTTGAGCTTTGTGATATTGCAATACTCTTTATGCTCTCATTGTTGTCATGCCCCGAAATACACTGCTCTAATATTAAGATAGTTCAAGTAGTAATAAGGATACTTTGTAAAATTTAGGCGTTTTAAGTTTGAATTTTGACAATCTTGGGGACAGACTATGAAGAATTTGTCCCTCATAAATATTCTAGTCCCGACGTGAATGCCTTTTGATACGACCAAAAAATGAATTAGACGAAGTGCGCGTAAACTGACCCGAACATTCCTAACCGTTAATAATGTTTTTGTGCATCTAAAATTTTCATTCAAATTATATGTTTAAAAAATGCAAATTGAGATTATTATCATTACAAAACAATGAAAATGAAAACAAAAAGTCTCTATATACTATTTCGGGTTTCCAAATTTAACTTTTGTCTTGGTTTTTCAAGGATATTTGAAGGCCGGCTAGTATGCGAGTGTTTGTCAGACTCTGGCAATGGGCGTTTGCCTACTATTTCAAGCCTTATGCGGTCCAACAGTGAAGGATTTTTCTCAAAAGAAATAATAGAAAGCTTTCAAGGCCACACAATGCTATCTACACAAAGCAAACGTCTAGAAAAATCATCAGGCAAGTAAAAAAAGGCAGCAATGCCTGTGGAAACTATGAGTTTTATCATGATTCCGTGCCGCCTCAATAATCCAAATCCGCCTTAATTACGTCAGCATGATTTTGAACATTCGGATATAATTTATTGATGTAATGATCATTGTCATCGTTGAGTTAACAATGTATTTAAGTATTAAATGAGATTCATATAATATTATTGAATTAGGTTAAAAAATTAGATTCACAAATTAAGTTCAGTCCAATGTTGTATAAAAAGACGAAGATAAATATGATAATAATTAATTTATAGGGTTAATTGCACTAGAGGTCAAGTCCCCTAAGGTATGAAGTTGATCTTATTTTGGTACATAATATTTTAATTACATTATTTTAGTTTTTGAAATATTTAATATATTTTTATGTGATTTTTCAAGCATACAACATATAAATTACTAACGATTTTTTATCATAAACTTATCATATAATACCTAAATATGGGCCAAAAAATAGTTTGGATAACTCTTAACCAAATTTTAGTCAAAATGCTACCCAAATTACACAAATTTGATTATGGGTTTATCTAAATTGTTGTCAAAAGCTAGCCATATTACACTTTTTTGGTTAGGAGTTACTCAAATTTTTGTTAAGAATTATCCAAATTTTTTTCCTCATATTTAGGTATTATTTTACAAGTTTATGATAAAAAATCATTAAAAAATTGGATGTTATTTACTTAAGGGACTACATAGAAATATATTCAATACTTAGAGGATAAAAATGACATAATTAAAATATTGCAGATCAAAATGAGATAAATTCTATACTTTGAGAATCTTCAGTGTAATTAACCTTAATTTATAGAGTAATTTTATTTGAACCTAAAAATTGAATTAATTTGTTGACTTAATGATGTGATTTTATTGAAACTATCAGATCAACAATAAATTCTAATGTTTAATGAAATTCGAAAACAATTCAAAAGTCATAATATATTAAATTAATAAATTAAATTTCAATAAACATTGCTCTAATTTATATTGGGGAGGAGGTTGAAGACAGAACCAACTGCTCTACCTAAAAAGCAAACGATTGAATGTTCTGAAAGTAGATAGGGGCCCAAATCTGAATTTGGTTGTCCGTCCCATTCAATTTAACCTCTCCATTCATAAATTCATCAATGCTCGCTTTTGTGGCCAATTTTCTCCCACTATACTATCACGAGTTAATCTTTGTTTTTTTTGGATTTTGTGATCAAGGTGTTTGAGCAAGTTTATAGACATTTCGATTAATTCCTTCTCTATTACGATCAAAAATAAATTATTCATGTTTGAATTATAATATTAATGAGAGATTATTCTTCGTAACCTGATTTCAAAGGATTGTTATTATTCAAACTCAAAGCGTTTAAGTTTACAATTCGTTCATGTTTCCACTAATAATCTTTCGATAAGTTCTAACGCTTAAACCTTCAAATTGGGATTCACAGACTGTGTGTAGACTGTTGGAGCTTGGTAGATGTAGTCACCAACAAGTATCTTATGCAAGCAAGAGGTCTTAAGTTTGATATTTTTCATCCTCTCTATAGGTCAATCACTCTTTTTCTTTAAGGGACATGTCTTTAAATTAGTTTGAATTACGATGACCGACTCAAAATTTAAAGGAGTAATTAATGTAAATTTGAACACCCTCTAACCAAAAAAAATTGAAGATTTACACACAAAATTTGCTATTATATTGTGATGGCATGAAATATGGTAAAAAATCCAACTGTCTACAATACAAAAAGATCGTTGATCATGACAGGCATAGTTTGGATGAACAGTCCCTTCCCTACTAGCAAAGTGGTCAAAAGAGACAATTGAAGGTAAGAGTTAGTTCTTGTGAATTCTACCATTTAGGTTCGGGGAAACCAACCATCAACTGACTCTTACCTCAGTTTATAAGTATAATGAAGTTAAATTTTGAGGGACAATTCAAGTGAAAATAAAGATGAGTTATAAATTTAAATGTCTAGAATTTGAATTTGAATTATTTATTGGGATCAGATTATGAGAAATTTATTATTTATGAATACATTAGTCTCGGTATAGATGATCTATTTTTTACTGAATTAAAGAAAAAATTAATTGATATGTGCGTAAGTTAATCCGACACTTTGACCATTGAACTAAAAATCAAAAAATAATGGAGTTATAATTTTTCAAGTGGGGAATAACAAAGACTTCGGAAAAGATATCTTAAGATTAGTAGTTTATATTGAAATACATAGGTTTATCGGAAATTAATCTAATAATTTACAAGAAACAATGAAGAAAAACTCACGGCCAACCTAAACTAACCCAACTCTCTCTCTCCAGCGCGTGGGTCAAACAACGAGTCCCAGTATGGCGTTCCTTGGTCTTTTATCGACTACAATTTCATCGTTGTTAGGGGATATGTTCTGTAGGACCCATTTTCCCATCTTATATCTGGACCTTCCATCAAACGCCAAAGCGCAACGCGTGCACAGTCAAGTCCGAGGACTCAGCCTACCCTACCCCTGTTTCTGTTCACTCTCTTTTTTTATTTTATTTTTCTGCCGGAAATCTTTCTCTCTATAAGTACAGACAACAAACAACAACGTCTAAACTGTTTCTCTCTCCTCTCTCTCATGCGTTTTAGCTCTGGTTTGGTTGGATGAAATAAATAAGAGATTTGTAGAGAAGAGCCGAGCGTCACGCACACCTCGCTCCTTCCTCTCTGAAAGAGTCCACATCGATCCTTTTATATCACCAAGAAAAGACGTAGAAGAAAGAAAGCAGAGTTATATAGTGCAGAGCTTTCTCTCTTCTGTTTTCTTCTTCAGTCAATAAGAAGGTGTGTATATCAGATGATTCTCTCTCAGCAATAAACTGAAAATGTCGGTGTTTTATGTTCACATTTAATACATCTGTGTATTTTTCTCTTCTTTTTTTTTTTTATGAATAATTTTGAAACAGAATCTGTCACTCGGAAATGGCGTTCTCTATGATTTTTTTTCTTTCCGAATTAATTTGAAGAAAAACAGCTATTTTTTCATTTTTTCCCCCTTGAATTTGAAAAAAATATGTAGTTCGGTGATTTCTCTTGACGTTTTGATCTGTTCAATTGCATAATTTTGCCGGAGTTGTGTTTTTAGTATTAATTTTTCCGTTTTGCTTTTTAGAGTGCTAGTGAGTTAACTCAATAACGCACATTTGGTCAACTGTTTGAATCCAAATTGTAACAGTAGCTAAAATTGTTAATCATGTCTCAGAAATTGGTTAAAGTTGACCAAAAAGGTCAGATCCATACAATTCACCTGATGTTAAGGGGACTTAGTCAACTCCAAGATGCAGCAAGTTTGTTCAGTAATGCTGGTGTGGCCTAATTAAACTAGGGTATGTAAAAGGGGGCAGGAGGACTATTGAAGATGTGGATCTGCATTGGCATTCAATTTTTTTTTCTCAACTAATATAATTATTTTGAATTTGCAGTTACTTGATTTGGCTCATGTTCATGAGGTTGTAGAGGTCATTAAAGTGAGTGGTAATACCATTCCTCGTGTATTATGATAATACTAGATGAAAATTGGATTAGCCTTGACCGTTGTTGTAATTTTATAAGTTGAGTATTTAGCTTCTTAGTTGTAATATTAGATAGATGTTTGAGCCATAAATTATCATTGTCGACCATGCACTATTTGAAGGAAATGCTAGCAGATCATAGTTGCTGCAATATCATTATAAACAGATGATGCTTATCCTCAAAACCTGAGTTTTCAGGATTGTATAACAAACGCAAGGGTTGCACTTCTTTTTGTGACAGAAACTACTTCCGTTTGGATAAAATCATAAAGTAGTTTAAACTTCAAGCTACATTCTATTGCATTTCTTTTGGGACACAATCGGCATGCATTATCATAAAGCCTTGAACTAGTTTAGACAAGGTTCAAGCTATTAAGCAGTCTTATTGATCCAACACGCATGTGTTCTGCTTCACCGTGTGCATAGTATCATAAAAGTTTCAATTGTTATTTGATACAGCTGGGAGAAGATTACGGTACCAAAAAAAAATCGGTACCATTACCATTCCACCAAATTTTAAAAGTTTTGTGGCTTGAGATACAAGTTTTGGGTTTGTTTACAATTTTTTGGGTCATTTTATAATTTTTATGGGTCAAATTATAATTTTTTGGGGGTCATTTACAACTTTTGGGGTTGCTTGAGATCGACCTAAAAATAAGTTGCCAATGACCCCAAAAGTTGTAAATGACAGTGCAATATCAAATTTTTTTTTTTTGGTACTGCTCCCCATTGCTGAGTCATTCCAATACACCAGATTAATTATAAGCTTCGGAAACCAGTGGATAAAGTGACCCTTTTCAGTGCTCAGACAAGAAAAAAAACTATAACAAGAACCTTCTTGCTTAAACAGCTCGATAATATTCTTTTTCATCAATATTGAAATGTGCAAGCATTCTTGCTTTTGCTGTCATACTTGCCCCTGTCGTCTATATCTAGGAACTTAATTACACTGGACAAATTCATCTTCACCCTGACCAGGTTAGCATGATAATAGCTTTGAGATCAAGTTTTATGGATTATTCATTCTTTTGTTTTCACTTCTAATGACCTGGAATCACAAACCAGAACTATGGGCGCTATAAGTTTTGTATTGTTGCTCCACTAATTAGTATGTATGCTCCTTTTTTTTGGGGTCAGGGTTGATGCTCCTGTTTGAGGGCATAAAAACCATCTGTTATGCTACTGAACTATAAGTTTAAATCCACTGTTTTCTTCGATATACTAGAAGAATATCCCTCGTGGATATTCTTTCTAACCTTGTGTACTTTTTGACGTTTGATTGGTACTGTTTACATTGGTCAAGTTCAAATTTAGAAAACCCCGATCTCTTAAATTATATTTGCAGAAACCAGAAAGTAATGGTTCATAGTAACTCAAACCCGGATTTCCTGAATCATATTTACACATGGCAAAGGTTAATGTACTTTTCAAATGAATTTATAGTAGGGTTTTTATGCATTTTCTATTTTCCAGATTGACTTACATCATGTTGAGGAGGTGGTACGGTCAGAATCATCAGGATAATGGCTCTTCAGACCGAGATGCAAAGGTAGAAAGAAGCTGAAGTCTTAATCTTGTGAATGAGAAATTTGTCAGTACCTCTATTTTTGTCTACTAGTGACAAATACATGTGCATGTATGCTATATAGATTCCATTTCTGGTTCTCATGATTGTAACCAGCAGTGTGCTGTAATGCTTTGTTAGTTGCACTGTAGAGGTTGGTAAGTGATTTTATTTTAGAATTAGAACGCCAGTCATTTGTAAGTTTTAACTTTGCCTCCCTAGTATTCCTTTAACAATACTGGAAATGCCTTCAATATTTGTTAGTTCATGGTCAAAGGTGGTTCAGAGAAGACCATCAGGCTACTTAACGTATTTAATACTGAAGAACACATAACTATTCAATTGGATTGGCCAATGTAAGATTAGGCTGTTGACTGAACAGAAACTGAATTCTTGCAATACAAGCAGGTCAGAGAACTAAGGGATGCACTTGGACCCTTATCTGGACGCAGCTTAAAGTATTGCACCGATGCCTGCCTGAGGAGATATTTGGAAGCTCGGAACTGGAATGTTGACAAATCAAAGAAAATGTTGGAGGAGACACTGAAGTGGAGATCAACCTATAAGCCAGAGGAAATCCATTGGGTAATTGGAAGGACTATACAAAAAATTAGGAACAAATATTTTCCAATATTTAGATTTCTCTACTGTGAATGCTTCACTTTTGTGCTACATCCTTACCGTAATGCCTATAATGCGTATATATTATTTTAATCTGTGTCTCTTGGACAAAGTCTAAAATACCAGTAATAGATAAAATACTGTTACTTTCAGTTCAAAATGGCTTTAGATGATATCAATAAATGCCAGAAAAGTTTATTGAAACTTAAGACCTGTTTATGTAAAAAATATTAATACCTTATCTAGTGATATAGTTTGTTACACAAATCAATGATCTTGTTTTGAAGCTTCCTAATGTGATGCCCTATATCATATCAGCATGAAGTAGCACATGAAGGTGAGACTGGCAAAGTTTCCAGAGCAAATTTTCATGATCGACTAGGTAGAACCGTCCTCATAATGAGACCAGGAAAGCAGGTTTGTGCTTGGACTTCTGCCTCTCGGTGTAGATTCTGTTATTTTGCTCTCAGAAATTAAACTCTCGAACCTTCTTCTTAATTAAATCATTTCGTTATTAAAGACTTATTTCTTTTTTGGGTGCAGAACACAACATCAGGTGAGGGTAATCTCCGCCATCTAGTCTATCTCATAGAAAATGCCATCCTGAGCCTGCCTGAGGGTCAAGAGCAGATGTCATGGTTAATAGACTTCAATGGATGGTCAATGAACACCAACATCCCCATTAAAACAGCTCGAGATATCATTTACGTCTTACAGAACCACTACCCTGAGAGACTTGCCATAGTAGTTCTCTACAGTCCACCAAGAATTTTTGAGGCATTTTGGAAGGTGTGAAATCCTCTCTTGTTCATCCCGGTATATCAGTTTCTATAAAGTACCAATATATAGGTTTATCTTTTGCTATCTTCTAAAACATTCGTAGTACAATCAATCCTCTTGCATTCGAAAATTCTATATGGACAGCTAGAAAAAATTCCTTTTGTGGGACATGGGAAAGTGTTAATCATTCTTGTAGCAGCTTTGTATATCTATACTGATCAAATTTCCGTATGTTTATCACCGCAGGTGGTGAAGTATTTTGTGGATCCAAAAACGTTTCAAAAGATAAGGTTCGTTTACCCAAACAACAAAGGTAGTGTGGAGACCATGAAGTCCTTTTTCGATGAGGAAAACCTTCCGAGCGAGTTTGGAGGAAAAGCCACCTTGCAATATGACCATGAGGAGTTTTCGAGGTTGATGGCCGAGGAAGACGTGAAGACTGCCGAGTTCTGGGGATTCGATAGGAGCCTGTGTGACAACACCAATGGGCACTTGGGAGCAGAGGTGGCTCCACCTAGAATCTGATCGAGGCAAATTGAACAAGAACCTGTAAACTAAAGAAATGTGTAATATGATCTGTCCTGAATTAAATATGAAAGACATTAGCATCAAATTCACTGACGAGACTTGGAAATTATATTTCCCTTGTCAGGGTGAATAAACATTTTTGCGTGCTTCCTGCTAACTATGAAAGGAACACGTCTTCTTCCTCCATTTGCTCGTCTTTGTATGATGTGACTACAATTATTGAACTTTCCTAACTATTGTAATTTCTTCCTCTCTCTAACGTGCCGAGATGCGCGCTGGCGCTGTAGTGTTGAGGTTTACCGAGGGGGAACTTTCATTGTAACATGCATGTACACTTTTAAGCCCCCTGTGAACCAGCTTTCCACAGGGTGTAGTTGCAGTGGAGGAAGCCACTCCAACCCATGCCACTGCACTTATGCATTGGCCCGATTAATTGCCCATGTTGAGGCCGATTTTAATTAAAATCCATTTAAGATCTATCGTAAGCAATTCACTAAAAGCCCATCAGGACCAACCGGATGGGCTGACATGGGCTGACCCTTTCTCCGTATATAATGATTGGAATCTCAGAGTTGCACAAGTTTCTCGGGCAATTAGAAGTGAAATCAGAGGTACTAAGATGTACCAAGTTAGTAGAGTCGGCCTAGAGCATCAGTCTTGTAAAGTGAACAAGGGCTGTAGTTCAATCCTGCATGGGGGCAACTTCAAAATTTTAGTCGACCCCAAATAGTTGGGATTAAGATTTTGTTGAGGTGAGATGAAATAAAGGTATTCCATTGGAGTCTAAAAATTAAGTGATTTCCTCCATCAAAGAAGCAATGCCACTTCCACGTAAACCAACTTATAGGAAGGTTAGTTTCAAGATCAATATTTACAAAACACAAAACTCATAATACAAACAACAACAATGCTAGACTGCATTCACCGAGAACAAAGCCTACCATACAAGAGATAAGTCGATAAAATCTATAGTTGCTCAAAGTTCACTGGAGTAAAGGCACTCATTCACGAGTTGGCGAAGGTTTGGATTCTCCAGGGCAGCAGCAACTCTCTCTTTATCATTTAACTGCTTGTTGACTGCAGGAAGGCAAATAGCATAATTCGCGTATTAGTTGCGAGTAGATAAACAAGGATGACTATGAGAGCAGTTTCCCACATTAAAAAAAAAAAACCAAGGACAGTATTTTGCTTCGAGTACTTCACCTAAAATGGATTTGTACCAAATAATTATAGTAATAACTTTGGCCAAATCAGTTACTGGGAAATAAAGTGCTGTGCTTCCTATGCCAAAATCATCCACAAGGTTCAGATGTTCAATCTTTGTACGAATGCTAGAGGGATATAAATGCTTTCCCTTTCTTTATATATAGTTGCCTAGCAAATATTTCATTTAAGTGTAGCACCATTGACTCTCCCTTTAGCTAGGCACATCCCTCATCTATATTTACCAGCACTCACAGTGGGATACCAGTGAAGTGGCCGCATCCAAAACCAGACATATTTCAAGGATTATTGATAATGTAGACAAACATTCTAGGATTTCTCAACTTCACCTGATTCTTCATCTGCATGAGATCCAGGAGCAACTTTAATATCTACCTGCAAAATTGCATAATCAGATGTATGTTTCAGAAATACAAACAAATATCACCAGGATACTGGTTGGAGATGAATTGATTTCCAGATGTAAAGTGAATCAACATGGGGGGAGAGAGATTATGAAATTTGTTATTTTTTTTGTAATCGACATGCTCATGCAACATATAGGAACACGTTGCAAACACTACCTATGGTTCAAATTCTACAAACTTATGGAAAACACAATCCCTAGCCTTGGGAAACACAACAATCCTTGCCATGTTCCCCATGCAATCTATCCAGACCAGTGAATGGAATTATATATAACGACACCACAACATTCAAAAAAAAAAACCTTTTAGGTAGAGTTAGGTAAATTTTTCTTCATACAGGATTGCAAAGATGAGTAGCACTTACAAGATATTAAAAAAATTGAGTAAAATCTCTAATAATCTATATAATAAAATACAATACAATTCAAATTTCAAAAGATAAATAAAATGATTTTTACTTTTCGCAGTTGAGATCGTTTTAAATTTTACTTTAAAGTTAATCCGATGACTAATATTAACTTTTCATATTTAATAGGAAAAATAGGTCCCCTAAGGGTGTGTTTGATGTGACTTTTCAAAAATACTTCTAAAACTTATAACTTCTCATAAGTACTTTAAAAAAAAGGTAATGTTTGCAACCGTCCCACCATCACCATCGCCACCCCCACCCCCACTATCATCTCTGTCACAACAACCACCACTACCACTACCACTACCACTACTACTGTCACCACCGCCACCCCCCCTAACCACCCCCACCCCCACCCATTGCCCCCCCACCACTATCACCTCTCTACCACCACGTTGCCGCCACTTTACCACCACCACTCCATCGCCCTACCACCACCACCAACGCCGTTGTCACTCTACCATCACCTCTGCCACAACAATCACCGCCTCACCACTACTGCCACCCCCCATCCCCACTGCCCCATCACAACAATCCCTACTACCCTCACCTCCACCACCACCATCCCAGCGGTCATCCTACCACCACTGCCGTTGTCCCACCAACACCCTACCACCATCACTCCCACCGCCCCACCACCATCCCAACGACCATATCAATTACCACTGCCACCGCCACCATCTCGCCACCATCCCACCACCACCACCGCCATCGCTGTCATCACCCAACCACTATCGTTGTCCCACCACCACCATTCCCACCGCCACCCCAACGACCATATCCATTACCACCACCATCGCCACCCCACCACCACCATCGTCATCCACCACTGATTGCTACCACTATCGTCCACTGCCATCACCCACCACCATCGTCCCCTCATTTTTATATTTATTACCACTATCACCATCATCCCAGTACTACCGTCGCCCACCGTTAGCACCCCACCACCACCTGTTGTCGCCCACCCTCACCGTCAATCATTGTCACCTCCCCCCACCACCACCACCACCTCCATTCACCACCACCCATCACACTGTCGCTCAGAAACACCCATCGTCATTCACCACCACTAACACCACCACCATCGTCACTGCCAACTAATATCATTGTCGCCCACCACCACCCACACCCACCACCACCGCCACCACCCATGACTACCACTATCACTATTGTCACCCAAAACACACTATCACCATCACCGTTGCTATCCATGGCTGTCACCACCATCACGGTCGTCACCACCTACCACAACCATCACCGTCTCCCACCACTGTTGTCCACTACCAATACAACCTCTCACCCTACTACAACCGGTGCTTAAATTCCTTTCTCTCTTTCTTTTATGTTTGAAAATTGATTTTGGGTGTGAAAACAAATATATTTATTGTTGACCATTTTTCTTATTACTCCGTACCTTCAGCTACATACAGGCAAAAACTAGTTAATATTTAAAATAGCAACACACATAGGAAATAGGAATTATTGCCTTTAAATTTATTAATAGCCCTTCAAAGTCCATTAAAACATCACACTACATTTCAATATCTCGTACTCCTTGTCTAAGTATTGACGCAGAAGGTACAGATCAGATATTTACATGACAAACTCGAGTTTAATAATGCAATTTTTGTAAAGGTGCTAAGCCATGTCTAAATAATGAATCAGCAGTTACAGTATCAGATATTTACTGGACAAATCTCAAGTTAAATAATGCGATTTCTATGAAGGTGGTAAGCCATGTTAACAGATCCTATAATGAGATCCACCAAATACATGTGGTTTTTAGACAGACAAGTCAATCTGAGAAGAAATGTTCCAAGGGAAGACACTGGAGAATCAACAGAAAGCGCAAAAAATGGAATACATTAAAAACTAGCAATGCTGCAGAGCATTTTGGAGGATTCACCCACCATCTCCACCAGTTGATCACTTAAATTTCAATCAGCTTACCACACGATGTGAATGAGCAATCTCAATCATGCCAGGGATACATAGACTGACCTTAAAATGTGGAGGGAAACAATCCTTTAGTTTCTCTCGAAGGCATAAACCTATGACTGTCGCCATGCTGCAGTGCTGGATTGTAGGTGTGAAAGTTATCCTAAAAATAGTCATAACTTCAGTGACATAAAATGAAAGCATAAGGCCACCTGGAAATCATTCACTTCCTCAACACAACAAATAAGGGAAAAAGTGGTAAACTCAGAAAGGATACAGAAGCCCATTCTAATGCCAATAGAGTGTACCTGAACAGTCTATAGGAGATGTATGCTAGTGTTAGTGCTGGTGTTGGGCTCAAATCCAATTCAGCAATACGTGGAGACAAAATATCACAGTGATGGCAACTAGACAGCGTGACTACTGAGATGACACATGCAAGTTCAGGTATACCGATGGTCAGTGCATCTGTACTAGGTCAAGCAAGTGTCATGGAAAGAACTGGCAAGTGGTAGTGAAAACTAATATTAGCTAGTAGGGTAAAATTCGTGACATTGAGTGTTGCCTCAACATATGGACTGAAAAAGTAGAAAAAATCGAATGTTTTATTCTTTTTTATCTTCATTCTTACTTCAAACACAAACATCAAAGGGTTATTTTGATTAGCGCAAAATTTTCCAATCCCTAAGAAACAAACACATTTTGCTGTATCAGTTTTCTTTTCTACTTGAGCTCTGAGCAGACAATCATAACAAAATTTCAGCTCTTTCTTTTTTTCCAAAACTTTTAAACCAAAACAATTAGAGTCAGAAACCTAATAATCATATCAAAGATTGATTTGCCATTTTTTAAAATTTGCTGGACAAGAAAGAAAATCTAATATTATAAAAACTTAGGTGGAATTACGAAATTCTTATGTATAAACAATATTTTCAGTTTTTCTAACTTTTTACCAATCAGATTACAACTGATTACTCCCTCTATAAGAAGGCGTCTCTTACGAATTGAACATAAACGAAACTAAAAATTACCATGTTCTCATACATTTAATGACTCAAAATTAGATAGCAATCAAAATCTGCAATTAAAACAATCTATATGGAAATTAGAGGCTGTTAAAACAAGCAATTCTTACAAAATGCGCCCAAGCTTCTCATCGACAGTGATGGACTCCTCCGAAAGAACACTGAGCTGTTCTAAAGAATACGGATGCTCCGGATCTCTTATATCCCTCACAAAATGTATCAAGAGTCAAAGATCACAATTTCAAGTACAATTCATGAATTAACTGATAACCAATTAGCTAAATAAAAATGAAAATTGAGAGAGAGAGAGAGAGAGAATCAAGAAGAAGGATATCATAGATTTCTAGAGGATCAACGGCGTCGTCTCCGTGAAGATCTTCGGTGCGAGCGATTCTCTCTTTCTTGGCGTGAACCACTGGGTTCGCATTGATTAACCCCAAAGTCATCTCTCTGTCAACTCACCTCTGTCCCTTTCTTCCCCACGGTTTTGAGTTCACAGTCTAGTGAGTTTCAGAGGCGTTTGTTTATATATATTGATGAGACTTTTCTGAAATGTTTCACGACGAAGACACGTGTTTTCGATATTATCAAAATACTGTTGTTAAGATTAAGTACTATCAGTGCGCAAAGGTCCTCGCCCCCGAGGTACTCCTCATATAGGATCATGGTATTCAGTACATTTTACAACCAACACGTAGCCTCGGTCTGATATGGTACCTCGGTTGGTGTTCCTCCCTCGGTTCCGAGATGAGCCTTTCCTCGGTGCCGAGATGTACCACGTCCTGGACGTCTCCTCTATTCCAGGATAAGCTATTGACGTACAGGTCATTAGTCTGGGCTAGTCTAGGCTATTCATCATGATCTCGTCTTACACAACTAGTGTCAGAACGTACTAGAATGCAGGGGCCACAGCCAATGGGAGATGGACGCGTGGCATATGATATCACATCAAAGACAGAGAAACCGCATGTCGTTGCTGACACGCGACTTGGAAAAGCAAACTATTAATTACATCATTCCCTTGATGAGACCGCATTCAATGCGGTAAGGCTCGGAAATGAAAGACAATAAATGCTCATAATACAGAGCATTTATTGCATCTTCCCCGAGAGGAGTACATTGTACCGTCGGCATCCCGATGACCCAGCATTGATTGCTCGGGACCCCGAGCAGTTAAGAAGAGAAGACATTCCTCATCAGAATCAGTGCGCACACTGCCTGTACCTAATAATCACCTACTGACTACACTGACAGCAATCATGAGCTTTTGAGGTATAAATACTCCTTACAAAAGACAAGACGGGTATGCAACAAAAAACTTTTTACTATAATACACACTCAGTGTTTTCTCCTTCCTCTCTCCTTCTAAAAGACTGACTAGATCGTCGGAGGGGATACGCCGGAAAACACTCCGGCGCCCTTCTAACTTGTTCTTCTTTGTTCTAGGAACTTCTTTCAGCCTTACTGGATCGTTCTTCCGTTCCCCCAGGGTCTCCCGTTGCCGTTCCAGGTTACCACCGGACCTCGCAGGCTGTTCCAAGCAGCGTAGTTGGTCACTCAACCGGCTCACTCGAGTTCACCAAGAAAGAGATCTGTTCTCGTTTTTTTATATTGTGCAGGATCTTACACGCACATATATATATATATATATATATATATATAGAACAGCATTAATGATACTGTCTCGTTGTTCCTGTTTTAAATAATTATCCCACCAATTTCTAAGAACACCTGTGAATCCTGAAACAATTAGTTTGACAATCTCAGGTTCAGGGCTATCAAGATTGGTCATATAATTATTTAGAACCATGGATAGATGACTGACTTTGTTAATAATTTCCTGTTCACTTAGACCATCTATGTTCCATTCATAGAGTCTGTTAGACTGAACAGAAAACTGGTTTAACACATTTTTTTCTTCATATTGAAGATCTGGTGGAGTGGGTCTAGAATACTAGTTCTTTGTGAAGCTGGTAGGGACTCTAACCAGTGCATTGATTTTAGAATCAGGTTGGGTCATACTGTGATCCCTAAACTGATTTTCTAAGTTTTCTATTTCAGAGTCAGAATCAGTGGTGTCTTTGGGACTATCAGATTCTGAATTAGACTCTGAACTTTCTTCAGTTTGGTTGATGACTGTTATCTGGGAAGTACTAGTAGATTCTTTCCTGGACAAGAGTGCATCAATCTGTTGAATTAGGTTTTTGTCTTTTAAACCTAAATTCTTTCTTTCTTCAGGTAGGTTGACTAATGGTCTTTCTACTGAAGATGGTTTAATTTCATCTATTTTATTTTCAATTTTATCCAACTGTTTACCTATGGTAATTAGGCTTTTGTTGGTGAAATTGATCTGTTCAACTATCTTCTTTTCAGATTCTAAGACTGGAATCTTAAAGGGAGAAGCAGTAATAGTTTTAGTTGCACATTTAAATTCAATGGTTTCTGCTGGTGGATGACTAGAGATTACCACGGCAGATTCTGTTTTCCAATTTTGCTGAGTTACTACTTTTACTTCTTTGTGGAAGTTACTTAAGTAGTTTTCAAAAGCAATTTATATATATATATATATATATACACACACCTAGTCATCGTGCAGCGTGTTCTAGCTCAGGGGTGGTGGTACCGTTGGTCCGTTTCTATACAATGGGCTGATGGATGAGTCACGAGTTTGGGGGATAAAAAAGCAACACAATACAACTTGCCACTTGATAGTGTTTCGCTACATGTTTGATATGAGTTATTGTAACAATAGCTCTTACCAATTTGTTTTATCAATTTAGGTATATATTAACTCATATGTTCTAAACCACACTGAATCTGTTCTTATGTGACACCAGTAATTAACTATTCTAAAATCTCCAAAAAATATATTGCATACTATTTTTCAAAAGGTGACAAATCACAACATATACATTCCGCATGCATATTTGTATTTATGAATTTCTAATTTACTACAAAATAAGATTGATTACATTTAGATTCATGTCATATACATTTCAAACGCATTGATATTAAAAGTCAGACATAAAACACGTTTGATAGAAACGTTCATTCAAGCATTATATGATTAATTTTATAAAAAAAAAATTATTCAAACTCATTAATTTTACATCATTTTACATTTTGTTAGATGGCGAATTGTGTCACAAATTCGCACCTGCAATTACACAAGATGTGTCATGTCACAAAAACAATTTGATTCTTTTTTACGCTTTGAAAGTATAATTTTTTCTCCAGGATCACTTGAAGCATAAGTGTGGGACTTTGATCAACTTGGCCAGCATTGTAAGGTTTCCAAGGTACTGCGGCAAAATAAAAAATAAAAAACAAGTAATGCCACACTAATATAGTGATGCTTTTACTAATTTAAAATGCGAACTTTGCACACATCATTTAGTACCCTTTTTTAGATAACATTTTTCAGACAGTACAACATCACCCATAAAAGAGATCATAGCAGCAGACTAGCAGGTTCCTTTTAAATATTAATCGCTGTTGCTTCAAAGGCCCCCTCATTCCTTGAGGGACTTCACGTATAATTTGGGGTAGGGTAATTCTTGTCTAAAAATATGGTGTAATACAAACATACTAGTTATTGTCTGTGTTTGAAAGTACAAAGTAATAAAAAATGGTAAACAATAAATATATTTGTATTCATATTCAAAATCAAATTACAAACATAAAAAATAGATAAAAGAATTTAAGCATCAATTTGTAATGGAGGTAAGAGGTGATGGGCGGCAGCGGTGGTGGTAAGAGACGATGATGGTTGTGGTAGGTGGTGGTGACGGCAAGGGCATCGGCTATGGTAGTGGTGGTGGCAGCGACAACAACGACGGTGATAGTAGCGGTGGTGGTGAGGGGTGGTGGTTGCGATGGTGACAACGATGGTGGTGGCGACGGTGATGGTGGCAGTGATGGTGGCGGTGGTGGTGGTAGAGGTAATGGTGGAGCGATTTCAAATACTATTTTTTTTAAAGTATTTATGAGAAATAATTTCTAAAAGTATTTTTAAAAAATTACTCCAAATACACCCTGAGAGTCCTATTTTTCTTATTAAATTTAGGGTGTTAATATTAGTCGTTAGATTAATTTTAAAATAAAATTTAAAACGATCTCAACTGCGAATAGTAAAAGTCATTTTATTTATCTTTTGAGATTTAAATTACAAGTTACTTTATTATATAAATAGATTCTTGAGAGCAATGTTAATAAGAGTTAGATAAATCTATTTGAGACCGTTAGATTGATTTATTGAAATCTGTCATGTTCTATATTACAAATGTTTTAGATATAGTGTTTTATAAAGATACAATGATAAGTGTTATTACACAATTCTAAGAAAAATAAAAATAACAAATCATGTGTTGTGCATCTATGAAATATAGATACAGATACGGAATTCGAATATAATATGATAAAATTTTAAAACATAAGATATATATACAATTAGGATACGTCTATAATAAAATATATTTTATATTTTTATTATTATCTGCCAACTTAATAATTATTTATTTTTATAATTCTTTAATATAATAAGCAAAATTGTAACAATTTCTTTAATTTCAAAAAAATATATATCATATCATTATGGTATATTCACCATGAATTGACGAATTAAAAGGATTAATACTAATATTTAGGCTTGCTTAAAAGTATTTTTCGCTAAAGGTATAAATAGATTTATTTTATACTCTTTTAACATATAATAATATATAAAACATAAAAAAACTCATGAATTTTTGTTGATGTACTATATAATATGTGAATTCGAAAAAAGATGTTTAAAAATTAAATTCAAAAATCATACATATTGCTACATTACAAAAATATTTGCAAAGTATCTAAATATTACCAAAAAAAAATCTAAATATTTTATTATTATTAGATACGTAAGAGGTGTATGCAATATATATCCCTAAATATCGACAAATATTGTATCCAATATAATATCTGATACGAATACATCGACCTCATCGAGATATCCTTATCTCATAGTGTGTATCGCAGTAATAATAATAATGATATAAAGACTAAAAATGGAAGCAAAATTCTGATTACAAAGTTTCAAGATGGAAATTGCACAAATTAAGCTCAAGTTTCATGAATATGATCCTCGATGTCCTAATAAATAAGATAAAACATTCTAGACTCAAATTTATGCACTTCTGTGCAATCATTTGGACTTCTTTCCCTGCTTCTTGATAACTTCATCAATATACATATACCTTGCCTTTGTAAACTTCAGGAGGCTTACAACTTCGAACAGCAGCAGCGAACTGGTGTACCCTTTGTTTGTCAATTCCAGTGCAGCAAACCATATTGGGTTTGAAGCAAAACACACGAACAGCTGGAGGCACAGTAAGTTCAACCTCATGGCTGTATCCCAGCTTGAGATACAAGAGCCGACCTTCTAATTCAGCTCTGGCTTTGAAACCAACACCGACAATCTTAAGAAAGCGAAAGAACTTAGCTTCCATTATTATTGGTATGTGAATCACCTGAAAAAAAAACAGGAAAGATCAAAAAAGTGGCAATGACTGAAGAATATTCACAAAGAACAAAACTAACGAGAAGAGAAATAGGTGAAAACTGCAAATATGATCAAAAGCAAATGTTGACTTCTGAAATCACACTTCTAAATCTGCTTCATGGGTCACCTTAACAATATTCCTTTTTCAGGAGAAAGTAGATGGAAAAGGGGAGCGGACTAGAGGGGAGGGGAGGAGAGAGGATGAGGGAAAGAACACTGAACTAGCATTCAGATGAAACAAAGTGCAAATTATTTCGATGATAATCGCACATAGGTTAGAACCCTTTCGCCATAGAAGGGCCCATAAAGACTGATGAATCTTTGTATATGTGCTAGTCTATTGAAAGAAGGTGCAGGGAATACTAAATCCTTTGTCTTGAATATAATCTGCATTACTATGGCAGGCTCCGGTTTGAAAAGATGTAACACATTAATCCATTACCATTGGTTGTTTGATCATTTGATACGTAAAACCAATCCTTGGAAACCACACTAGACCTGGCGTGCGAAAACATACAAGGAGAAGGAACATTACTACAAAGTTAGACTGATGAACAACAAATTTGGCCAACAAAGAATGACACGTGATGGAGCTAATTAGCCACTGTGGTTGCTAAAGTAAATATCAATCACACCACCGAGCACAAGAGCAAAAAAATAAGGACTTGTTTTTATTACAGAGGCTCCAGGACTACGAATAGCAGAGTGTTCAGTCCCACGATATAGAAATCGCACCTCAAAATCAACAGCTATTTCATTCTGGAAATACCCAGTTTGGATTCCAGATACTACTTTCTTCTAATCATTATGATTCACATGACCATGAACACTCTCAAATGGACCAACTCTGTAGTTCAAAAATATGGTGGCCAACTCAACTTCAAAGAGATATGCTCAATTATGGATAGGGGTTGTCTCTATGTCCATGTGCAGGTGAGAGAGAGCCATATGTGAAGGCAAGTAGGCTAATGGAAAAGAAAATAGTTTAAATTTTATTTCCCTTTTCTTTCCTGCATACTTTCTGGCAAACCAAACATAGCTTTGACATTGACAGTAGATTTAAGCTTTTAAGAAATGTGAGAACTATACATATATCACTTGCAGACAAGCGAAAAAACGCGTCTCACGTAATAGCTAGTGATTGTTCATAAGAGAATTGATCCCAAAAATCAGGTAAGTAGAGGTGAGGTTTTTCGCTCTTCGGAAATCCAAGAAACACACATAACAGAACACAAATGCATATGCGCACACACATGCACATAATAGAGACCCAAAAATAGACACAAGATAGTGCATGCTAAAATACACACATACACTGGACACAAACACAAAAGATGACACACACTAAAATATACGTTTACACTAAATACAAACACAAACTCACCGCGCGCACACACACATAACACACAACACACATACACACACTCTATAGATCCAGAACACAAGTTCACCCATGCACAAAAAACACCATACCACAACACACACACTAACTACCTATGCACAAGAACATGCAAACTCAAACCCATATACACAAGCAAAATTTAGCCTACGCGATCAATTTCATTCACTCTCAAATTGAGCCAATATCAAACTCATACCCATCCTCCAACTCAAATCAGCAAGAACAAATCATCCTAGAACAGCCAAATTGGCCAGTTTAACTCTATCACGCATATTCCTTCTCGATTTAAATCCACGGATGGTAACATCGCCAAATTTCAGGCTTACAAAAAAACCACCAGTGAAATTGACCATATTTGACCTGTTTTCCCCACAATTTCTAAACAAAGACAAAGTGAACCCCTTTGCAGTCATAATTCATCTAATTACAACTCCATTTCATATTTTCGACGAAATTCCAAACTAGCCATTTGCAGTCCGTGGGCTTCAAGGGGTGGGTGGTGGTTTCAGTGAGTTGGTTCATGGTGGTGAATCCAAATTTTCCATGTCATAGCGATTTGAGGTGGTGGGCAAAGGGTCAAGAGTAGTGAGGGTAATGAAGAGGGTAGGAACGGACTGTGGTGGTGCGTGGTGGTGATTTGGGCCTAAGACTGGATTGTGGTGGCTCGAATGTGCACGAGGGCACATGGTGATGATGCATAGGCTTAGGGTTCATTGGTTCAAGGTGGGGGGTGGTGGGGGTCAATTGTAGAAAAGAAAGAGAAGATGGAGGAGGAAAAAAAAGTGAAGATCAAAGAGAGGAGAAAAGGGGGGAAGTCACCCGGAGTTTTGACGGGGGTTGTGGTGGCCAGTACAGTTAAGGGGAGCTGACAGTTGGTGGGGGTGGGGGGGAGAGAGAGAGGAGGGAACAGGACCAAAGAATGACGAGCTACAAAAAGCGCCTGTGTGCATCGCCTGAACCAAATGTCAGGCTACTAAATGATTATTATCCTAATTATGTGTGTTAATGCTAAACAAACTCCACAATTAAAATGTACAATGTCAGGCGGCAAAATAGTTATTTTTTAAAACTAAAAGTCAAGTAACCCTTCAACTATAACTAAAAAAAAGACATTTCAACGAACAGGTGATCTACTTAGGCATTTTAACAAACAGGGAATCTGTATTCCAAATGAGCCTGTAAGAGAGACAGGAAGGGAAGATTTTCTACAAAACACCCAAAATAAAAAATTATCTTAACATTAAACACCAAATTAGAGAAAACCTAATAGTCAATTCCCCACAAAATACCCAAACTAACAATAAACACCCAAGTTAACATTAACAAAACACATTAATGTAAGTGTGTGAGCATGTGACTATGTTGTGTGCGTGTGTTGTTGCGCTCTGTGTGTGTCTGTTGCCGTATGTGTGCTGGGAGTGTATATGTGTTGTGCGTGTGTTGCTGTGTTGGGGGGATGTGTGTGTGTGTCACTGTCTGTGCGTGATGTGCGCGACTGGAGAGAGGTGAAGACACAAAGGTGCAAGAAAGAGACAGAGATGAAGGCGAGGGACAATGAGAGAGACAGGGAAAGGGAGTTAGAGAGGCCAACCTAGATGTAGGGGACGTTGTTGTCATTGGATATAGGCGACAGTGGTGCTGTGGCGAGAGAGAGAGAACAAGAGAGAGAAAAAAAAAAGGATAAGGGAAAAGAGGCATTAGGAGGTGGGACTGGATTTTTTTGTAAGGGAATTTTTTTTTATGGTTAGTTAAGGAATTTAAACTCCAAAATTTGTACCAAAATAACTTGAGCTATTAAATTAGTGATAAAATCCACTAATTCAACAAGAAGTAATTTAGTAGAAATTTTAATTTATATTTTTTATGCACATATATTGTGTTTTTCAAAAACAAATCGGGTTTAATTGTTTTGTGTGTGTTTGTTTTTTTTTTGGGGTGAGTGGGGAACATGGATCTTTGTATGCTTATAGAACTGCAAAAAAATAAAGTAGGAAAATATATTCCATAAATTCTCAACAAAGATTTTACACCGTCGTATTGAATTAAATTTGAGTTAGATTAATCCTAGCCTCTCTTGTGCTTACTTAACTTTAGGATTTCAAAAATGCATGTGTCTTATTGTTATAGATTTTCACTTAAACCCTTAATATCTAATTGATGGGACATTTCCGAAATACTTTAAGATGAAGACACGTGTCCTCGGTGTCACTAAATCCTGTTACTGAGATCACGTACCATCGGCTCACAAAGTCCCTCTCCCCCGAGGTACTTTGTCATAGGGATCAAGTGGCATCCAGTACGTTTACGAACCGACACGTATCCCTCGGTCTGATATGGGTACATCGGTCGCTATATACACCTCCCCTCGGCTCCGAGATGAACTTCCCCCTCGGCTCCGAGATGTATCTCCGTCCAGGATGGCGTTCTCTGCTCCTACAGAGGCTATTGATGTACAGGTCACTAGCCTAGGCTAGGCTAGGTTAGCTATCATGACCTCGTCTTACACAATTGGTGTCAGAAGGCACAGGAAGGCAGGGGCCACAGCCAATGGGGAATGGACGCGTGGCATATTGTGTCACATCAGAGACAGAAAGACCGCATGCCCTTGCTGACACACGACTTGGGAAAGCAAGCATTTAATTACACCATTCCCTTGATGAGACTGCATTCAATGCGGTAAGGCTCGGAAGTGAAAGGCAATAAATGTCTCTAAGGCTGGAAATTTATTGCATCCTCCCCGAGAGGAGCTCATTGAACAGTCGGCAGCCCGATGACACAGCATTGATTGCTCGGGATCCCGAGCAGTTAAAAGAGAAGACATTCCTCATTAGAATCAGTGCGCACACTGCCTGTACCTAATGATCACCTACTGACTACACTGACACTAATCATGAGTTTTTGAGGTATAAATACTCCTCGCAAAAGGCAAGACGGAAAAAAACAAAAAACCTTTGCTACAATACATACTCAGTGTTTTCTTCTTCCTCTCTCTCAAAAACTGACTTGATCGTCGGAGGGAATACGCCGAAAAACACTCCGGCTCCCTTCTAACTTGTTCTTCTTTGTTCCAGGAACTTTTTTCAGCCTTACTGGATCGTTCCATTGATCCACGAGGGTCTCTCATTACCGTTCCAGGTTACCACCGGACCTCACAGGCTGTTCCAAGCAGCGGGGTTGACCACTCGACTGACTCACTCGAGTTCACCAAGGGAGAGATCTGTTCTCGTGTTTATATTGTGCAAGATCTAGCACGCACAATCTGGCGCCGTCTGTGGGAAACGACTAGTTTTCCTAGTTTTTTCTCTATAAAGAACAGTGACCATGGTGAATACTCGACAAAAAGGGAAAGGTCCCCAGCAAAGAAGTCTCGAATTACAAGCTCCATGTCACCATGGAGGGAGGGATCACACTGATGGGAATAAAAATGCCTCTACTCAGTCAAGAGGGGTTACCCCTCAAACCAGTATGGAAATCAGGTCAGGAGGATCAGCCCCCTTGGCTCGTCAGCTGGCGGAGGTGATCGAAGAAAAGTTTGGCGATAGATTACGACAGTTGAAAAAGGACAATGTAAACGTCCTAAGCCGGCTCAACGAATTCGCCGCCTCCGGCGAAGGGTCGAGGGACTCATTCCTTTCTCGTGGGCTCCCCGCCCGGGAGGCAGAAACGAAGGATCTAAGGAATCATCTAAACAACAAGGCAGAAAGCTCCAGGGCCCCAAAGCGACCGAGAGCCAACGAGCACCCTCCTAACGACCATTCAAGGAAGGCAAGGCCTTTAGCCCTGGACGACCTCCGGCGAGGATTGTCTAGACGGAGGAAGGGAGATGAGTCCGAGGAGGATTCTACCCTATCCACACGGCGCCCAGGAAATGGGGGGCCTATTGATGAACTCAAGGACTTCAGAAGACATCCCGTCAGGGAGGAAATTGATCTCAGAGCCCGGTTGGAATCCAGGAGAAAGAGTAAGGCTGTCCAGGATGAGGTCGAAGACGAGGTCATACAAACACCCTTTACCAGGGAGATCGGAGAGATGGAGGTTCCAAGAAAGTTCGTCGTGCCGAGGTTCAAAACTTATGACGGGCGGTCCGATCCCGAAGCCCATCTCAGGCAATACAAGCAGATGATGTCCCTTTATCATTCAGACCAACGGTTCCTCTGCCGAGTGTTTCCTATGAGCTTGGGGGACTCTGCGATGAAGTGGTTCGAGGCGCTTCCCCCAACAGCATTGGATCGTGGAAGGAATTGACGAGGCAGTTCCTGGCTCGATTCATTACGGGGAGTAAGCGGCCTAAAGACGTTGGATCATTGCTAACGCTCAGACGTAGGGAATCCGAGACCCTTCGCCAGTATGCCATCCGGTACTGGGAAGAGGTTAATGAGGTAGAAGGCTGCTCGGAAGTCATGGCAGCGGCGTCTTTCAGGCTCGGCTTGGCAAGGGACACGGACCTGTACCGATCCCTGACCAAGAAGACTCCCTCGGATATGGGCGAGCTGATGGCCCGGATAAACAAATACTCAAGGATCGAGGACGAGATGGGAAGCAGCAAAGGCCGAACCCTCCAATCTAAGAGAAAAGAGAGGGAGCGGGAGGATACTCCCCGAAAGGGACTGCTACCCCCTCCAGGGGGGTCGTCCAAAGGAGTTCACACTATGTTCAAGGAACCCATCTTCAAGTTGCTCCATAAGATCAAGCATGAGCCGTTCTTCAAGTGGCCGCCCAGGATGCAGAGCGATCCCTCCACCCGTGATCAAAAGGTTAGGTGTTCCTATCACCGGGATTTCGGACATCGCACCGAAAGCTGCAGGGTATACAAATCGTTCTTGGAAAGATTGGTCCGAGACGGATACTTGAAAGAATACATAGAGCCCAGGCCGAAAGAGAGACACACCCCTGCCCCGACCGAGGAGCCGGACAACGTCATAGATGTCATCCATGTATGTCCCCTAGATCGCCCCACGTCCAAGGAACTCGAGTCCGATCTCAAGAGGGTAGCTTTTACAAGGAAGATAGCCGAGGATGATGGGGGGCCACCCAGTAAAAGGGCCAGGACTGGTGAGCCCAGCATCACGTTCTCCGACGCGGACTTGACAGGCGTGGTGACTCCTCATAACGACGCCCTTGTCTTAACCCTGAAGATAGGTAAATTCGACGTCAAAAGGGTGTTGATAGACTCTGGAAGTTCCTCGGAAGTGATGTACTCTGAGACTTTAAAACGGATGGGTCTTGGCCTCAAGGACCTCACCAAGGTCAGGACACCCCTCATCGGATTCAACGGCTCGTTCGCCCTGCCCATAGGCAAAATCACATTGCCAGTTGTCACGGGTCCCTTCATCATCAACACCGAGTTTGTCGTGATTGATACGGACTCTCCCTACAACGTGATCATGGGACGAACATGGCTGCATGCGTTGGGAGCGGTGCACTCCACTTATCACC